AATGTCTTACAACAATTAATATAAACGGCTCTAAAGTTTATTGGATTAGAGACAATTTGGATTATAGCTAATTGATTTGGAGGTATGAGACATAGTTTATATATAGCTTGTATGTAACTGATATCTATATGACTAGGGATGGCCAAATGTCGAATGTACAAGATCATATGTTTATCGGCAGTAGTTTATGCTTTCTTCATTATCCGAATTTTTCTAATGGAAATGTTAAATCATAGAATTACTATATATGGCAGCTACAAATTGAAAGTGTAATAAAATCTCTCCACATTTGTTGAAGAAAGCTTAAATATCACACCTCAAAGTTGTTCTAGCTGTTGTTGCTATTTCATTTAATCTTTGAATTGAAGTCTTCACTTTTAAAAAAATTGTTCTCCAATTCTGTCGAGATTTTCTTTGTTAAGAATTTTTCTTATAAGCAGAGATATTACTTTTGTTTTATTATTTGGAGATGGAGAAATTTTCATTTTGGATTAAGAACGTTGGAATGCTTGTGTTATGCAGTTAGACGTATCAAACGACTATCAAATTAGATTTATTGATTATATGCGGCCAATTAACTCCGATAATCCACCCAAAGAAAGATTTAACTATTACGAAAGCAAAAGAGGACTGGACTAGATTAGGATCTTGTGTCACGACAGCTCGAAGCCGACAATTGGCAATGTCAAGAATGGCTCCTAATTTAGTTTCTCTTCAATTATCAGAAAACATTTTGTTTAAAGAAACATAAACGATTTAGATCAAGTCTCAAAATAGTCCTATCGAATTTATATTTAGATAATCTATCGATGTTCTTCACTTAATTTTCACTTTATATATATTTTTTTTCTTCTTCTTTTATAAGAAAATCTTTCAAGACTCGGGTGATGTTGCCTCAGGAATCTGCAAGGGGATGGGACTGTTCTCTTCTTTCTCATTCGGACTCTCGACTTGTTTTTCTTCGACTTGGGAGGTTACACCGTTCTCTGATGCACTCATTGCGTCAATGCTGCTGGCCTTTGCGAGTTTGTTGGATGGTTCAGGAGAGGACGAAGCGGCTAAGATGCGACCTAGACCGTCATATGTACTCTTAGCATCCATAACGATAGTGGCACCACCTGGATAACACCGGCCAAAGCATGTGGCGCAATGTGGAAAAACTACCTGACAACCAAAAAGAAGAAAAAACAGTGATGTGAGTTAGACAGAGAGGTGTTCAATCTGGAAAAATCAAACCGATCCACAACTGCGCTATTTAGACAACTCAATTTTACTTGTTGATACAATTTTGAGTTGAGATGTAAAATTGTACCTCGACGAAAGCTCGGCAAAGTGAGAGGAAGAGATTGGATTCATTGAGTCGAAGCATCCGAGTTGTGTTGTATCTAAGTAAAGAGCCAGAGACCGCCTGAAGTCCTTTGATCAATTCATGAGCAATAACATTCTTCAGACTTAGTGGGGCGCAAGGACGTAGTTCGTTCAATGCAGCAGATACACCTGTGGACGTAGCCAGGATTATCAATCGCAAATTAGACTGAAAAAAAGAGCTACACTTATATGCATCATTTTGTAATCGTTAGAACATTCATCATTGGTTATATCATTCATAAATATAAGAAACTGATACCGTATCATAGTCTCACCGTTTATGAAAACTGCAAGGGGCGGGTGCTCCATTAAGTATGATGGAGGTGTGACGTCATCTTTGCTACCTTCATTAATACCGCTTGATGGGAAGCCGACAGATGGTAATGGAACCCATCGATGTGAATCCAAAACTAACTGGAAGTAAAAACATCATGAAGAATTTAACAGAGAAATTCAAGAGTACAACATTTGATTCATAAGAACAGGTATTTTATATCTGAGTTGAGTTCCATGCCAGAGCAAAAGTTAAACTTTTTTTGTATTTACCCACCTGAAAATTCTCAACTGCTGTGTTCATGTTCTTGGAGAATAAGTTTAGAACCGCCCTGTAGAAAGTATGTGAGTTGAATACTGAACTTGCTAACAAATTAGTAAAGACTATGACAGAAACAAATAAAATATATATAAGAAGAAGAATTGTTACTCTTCAAAAAGTGGAGGAAGCAAACCCCGGAAGTCTAGCCCAACCCAACCAAGCCCCATAGCACAGTACTGTGTGGTCATGAGAAGAAGTTAACATGTCAATCAGAGTTGCACAGAGTATTCAAAAGGGAATATATGAGATGGAAAAGAACTCAACCATGCACTGATCCAAAATATTCGATAGCGATCCTCCTTCAGTAATCTTTGGGAGCATAATTTTCAGAGTCTTCAGGTGTGATGTTATTTGATGCATGGCCCAGCTAAACAGAAGTCCACCATCATAATTTTCTTCACTCCCCGATGTATCATCAGCAAAAATAGCTCGATATTGATTAACCACATCAAATAGGTGCATTCTATGACAGTTAATCATGCCTTTTAAATACTCATAAGCATTTTTCTGATCTAGATCCTCAAGAATTCCAGTGAGCCATGCCTCACGGCATCTTAAGAACTGCACAGACAAGAACATTCAGAAGTGAAGCAGAGCTTATACAATGAAAGGAATAATTCAAAGTTATATGTCATAAAAATTCACCTGCAATCGCATTTCATACTCGCCAAAGACTCCTATTCGGCGTAAGTAACCAATAATCCGTAGACATTCTGGCAACTGAAACAGAGAGCAGCTACAAAATATTGAGCCTCCTAGATTACTAAACTCAACTATAATTCACTCTATACAAATAGACTATATTCACATGAAACCTGTATATTTGAGCGCAGTTTCTGGAGAAGCTGTGAGAGAAGTGACTGAGTTGTTAGTCTAACCTCCGCTGCAAGCGCTTGGATAACAGGCAACCTTGACATTGAGAGAAGATTAAATCGTAAGAGATAATAGCTAGGCCTTACGTAGCCAAAGAAATTATGTTGGGAGAAAGATAACAAAAAAAAAAACAAAAAATACACTCACTTGGGATGCATGGTTGCAAGTTTCGATACAAATGCTTCCAGGTCAAGAGCCTCATCAAAATTTCCGTTCCTCACGCATCTGACAAAGATATAAATTATTTTGAAGAGAGCTTATAAACATATAGAAGTTGCTCGGCTTTTCTCTCATGAAAGGAATGAGCAGAGATAGACAAGAGAGAAGATTAAACTTCTTGGCACGAAGTCTAGTAGCTTACGTGTCCATAAGCTGAGGAATCTCAAGCAAGTCAAGAAGAGTGCTGTGATTTGCCAGCAAAGCTTGGTTCATCTTCCTCTTCTCTAGAATATTCTCAGCAGAATCGATAAATTCTGTGCAACCAGACGTTACTTTTGGGACTTCGCCAATCTGCAAAAGGGGAAAAGTACAGAATTCCGACATCAAAATTTTGAAAGAATTTTTCTTCTCTCCAAGGATGCAAGTGCTAAAGTCAGTGGATGCTGTGCAAGAACCGATCTTGCTTTCTGAAAACATCGAAAGCTCAAGCTACATTCCTAATCCAACGATTCATTCACCTATTTTCAAGACGTTAGCTGCCTACTTAGACAACAACACAACAAGATCAATCTCCCAAGTTTCGCATACACTGTATACAAAAGCATAGGGCATGAAACATCATGGATGGTTCTGCAACTTGACTTGATTCCAATCGATTTTCTAATTTCACTGTTACTAATCGTAATTAATCGGCTAAGATTCAGAACTTTAAGTTAGATTCAAAACCAGGCAGACATAAGCAAGTGAAGGAGGAGAAGTCAATGTGATATGGAACGCAAAGGTAAATTTACCAGAGACTCGAGATGCTTATCAATGGAGGATACTTCCTGGCGGATCGCAAGCAAAGCATCTGCAGCGGTGATAAATGCGCGGTAATTTCCAACCGCCACCTCTTGCATTTGCCTCTGAATCCGCTCTGCGTCCACTCGAAGCAGCTCCGGCTCCTTCAAATTCAGTAACCCACATGATTCAGACATCCATGAGCGCAGAGAGATGTCAAGAGAAGATAATACAGAGAAAGAGAGAGAGAGAGAGAAACCTTGTGGAGACGATCAAGAGTGAAGGAGAGGAGCTCGGAAACGTACGGTTGCTGAGAGGCGGAAGCGAGGGAGAGAAGACTCGCCGTCGCCTCCGGCGGAGACATCTCCCCGACCTCCGTTGCCATTCCGGATCTTCCTCCTGTAGGCGATCCTATCAAAATCTCCTCGAAGAATTGATGTAGATCCAAAAAACAATAGATGAGATTTCACGGTTTTTCTTCAATGGATTAACATCCAAATGTTTCAGTAAACTCTTTCTCTGTTTGGATCTGAAATCGCTCTTTCACTTTTCTTTCTCCCCACTCGCATGTTTTTCACTGCGTTAATTAAGGATTAAAAGAATTTTGATAGAAACAAAATTACAAAACAAAAAAATAATACTTAATTAATACATACGTGACAGTTTTTTTTTTATAAAAAAACACCATTCATATCCTCGGCCCTGTCATTAGATATGAAACTATTTATACAAAAATCGATTTAACCACCAGATGAAAATAGAAATAAAGTCATCCACGTATTCTTGTCACAATCCACATACATGGCATGTATATTGAATTCACATTTACATGCGCAAAAAATGGTTTAATCAGTGCAGTTTTTAGCAGGGTACGTAACCTAAATAATTTAATGATACATTTACTTGCGGTAAAAAAAAAAACAACGGGGATATAGTGAATAGTTTTAGTCTTTTAAACTTTTAGTCGATAGCCTATGTCCGTCGCACAAGAAAAAAAAGGTCGATAGTCTATGTCCGACTTGGTTATGGACAATATGAACTAGATATTAGACCGAGTAGCTAGTTTTCACAGACCAAAATCTACTACTTTGATGTGATTCTGTTTTATTAACGTCTGCTTTTGATGTTCGATATCGCATTGATGAAAATTTTGATCTTATATTACACCAAAAAATGAATAAACAATAGTATTTTAGTAGTATCTACGTAACAATATAGGAGTCTTTTACACTAACGAAGCGTTAAGAAAAACAGATAGAAAAAGTATAAACAGAGAAATCAAAAAAGATGAAGAAAAGAGAATAGTGGCATCTGATGCGGTGTAGAAATAGAAATAAGGAAATGGGTAAGAAGGCTGCTGCTGCTGCCCCTGTGACTGTCCCTTTGGCGATGGCGGTGATGGTGGCGAGCCTTTCACATCTGAAGCAATTGGTGGTGGCGGTGGTGTCGACTGAAAATAGTAAAATCGTGGTGGTGGCGGATGGATGACGGTGATTAACGGCGGCGGCGGCGATTGTGAAAGCGGTGGTGGAGAGCGTTTGTGTGGCGGTGGCGGAGAGGATGGCGGCAATGAAGGAGACGGAGGTGGTGACGTGGAGGAAGAGGGTTTGGAGGGCGGTGGAGAGCAAATGGTGGGACACGTGGAGCATTCGCTGATGCAAAGAGGAGTGAGGACATCTGATTGATCGGACCGTGATGATGCAACTAAAATGGCAATGACCATGATCATGATGAAGAGGCCCATGATGAATTGATGATAACCTAAAAATTGGTGTTTGGAGTGGAATGTTCGTTCATTGCTTAGTTAGTTTGGTTGGACATTTATAAATCATCACGTTGTGGGTTTGATACGAAGATGCTTTCTTGATGGATTGTATTTTGCTGGAAAGTTAAAAATTAAGATTGAGAATATAAAAAAGTTTAGAACGGACAATGTATGTATCAGTGTATGTTAAGCTACGTATTACTTATTTTTCTAAGGATTAAGATGCAAACATAATTTACAATTAGTTTTACAATTTACAGATGATATTTAGGTGATAAAACGACTAGATTTGTTTATATTTTGACTATTGAATACAACCACTGTGCTTAAAACAATCAAATTCAATTTGATTATGTGGGATCATATTTTTCTGCTTAGATATAATATTTTTCAGGCAAATTATGCTAGGATTTAGCAGGAGTTGGAGGTGAGAGTGGAATGTCAATATACTCGTAAACTGTATAACAGAAACTGTCGATATAATTTTAGTTGCGTTAGTATATTCGTTTCTCAATGTATACTCAAAACCCCCATTTTATGAGGCAACTAATTAACTAAAAAGTGTCTCCAAATCCCCTTTTTGTTCTGTCATTGTTCTTTTATACTTTGCTTTCAAAGTTAGCTTTGTATCAATTTCATTTTAACAATAATCGGCACTAGATTGATTCTTTCATCTTTATAATATCTCTTCTATTTCTGTTTTTGTTTATAATCTCTCCTGTTTTTGTTTATAGTCTCTCTACTGTTTGGCCCCAAGTGCTATTTGTAGACTTGTAGTTGTAATCAGATACTCGAATTAACGTCTGGTAGCGTGTTATAAACTATTTATTAAAAAAATGTGTTAGCTGCCTATCTCGAGAAAACAATATGTATTTAACGGCGTTTTTAAATTACTATCTACTACTAGATAAGTAAATTAAGCGGAACAACATAAAATGACAAAGTTTGAATAAATCAATAGCTTCATCTTAGATAGGCTACGAGAAGTGAACATTAACATATAAATCATTGCTTTTTGTTCAATACTATTCATCGGAAAGCCGAAAGGTGGAAGTATGTTACAGAGATATATAATATTGACAAGGGTTAGATTTTAGTTAAGTCATCTCTTCATGACACTTCACTTACCACTATCTTAACTTTCTTTCTTGAGAAGCAAGCAATCTCTCTATCCAGGTCCTCATAAAACTCTTCAAAAGATTTAAGATAATATAAGATCTTCAGACCCAGTTGTTAACTCTCGCATCCTAATGAATAAAACAGCATTTTCAAAGTGTAAGCGATTGAGTTTTACTTAGTAAAGTATAAGACTTTGTTTAGGTTTTTATATGTAGTCATTTACCTGACTCGTTGTTCATCCCCAAGCTTCTTAATCGGACAAGCTCTGGAACTATATCCTTTCCAAGATCTGGTCTATCTTTCTTTCTTAGCTCGGCACATTTTAGACACAGCTTCGCAAAAGTTATAGCTTCTTCGACAGGCCAATCAGTCACGGAAGGATCAAGCATATCCTTGAAAGTTCCTTTATCGATTGCCCTCGACACGTGATGAGCCAGACCCATTGGACTCTTTGCAGTGATGACCTGAAGCAGCATTATCCCTAACGAATATATGTCTGATTTCGTGGTTAACTTTCCTGTCTGCTGGTACTCGGGGTCTATGTAACAGAACGTTCCTGCTGCAGATGTCATGTGGTACTGCGTGACCGTATCAGCCACTGACGCGGGGACTAACCGAGCTAATCCAACGTCACTGATCTTGCTCACATAGTTTCTATCTAGGAGAATGTTGGCAGGTTTTAGGTCACGGTGAACCAGAGGCTCTGGCTTTGTTTGGTGAATGAAGGAGAGTGCAGTAGCGATCTCTGCTGCTATTTGGAACCTTTTCCTCCATGAAAGAGGCGGCGAGTTTCCTCTACGAAAGAGTCTATCCTCTAAGCTCCCATTTTCCATGAACTCGTACACCAAGCACCCATATTCCGGACACGCACCAAGAAGAAGAACCATGTGAGGGTGTCTTATGCAACTTAGAACCTCGACTTCTTGTTGAAATTGCTTCTTTCCTTGAGCAGCATCAGGTCTCAAGACTTTAATGGCAACAGGAGTGTGATCAAGTGTGCCTTTATAGACTGGTCCATACCCTCCTTCTCCTATTTTTCTGTTGCTTGCAAACCTGTCAGTAGCCTCTTCAATCTCTTCTATAGAGTATTTTCTGTACCGGACATCATTCTGCACCAAAGCACTGAGAGCACGGTCTTTCTCCTGAGATTCCCTTCTTGCTTTCATCTCTGCTTGCTTCCTTCTTTGTCCTTCCAATTCCGCCATTCGCTGAGCTTTCTCAGCTGCTTCCATTGCAGCTCTGCACTTGGCCTTCTCAATCTCTGCAACAGCCAGGGCTGCCTCTTCAGCACTCCTAGCTTCCTCAAATCTTCGAGCTTCTTCCATTTTCCACTGATTAAGTTCATTCGCCTACAGAAACACGAGAGACAGAACGTATTAGATGGAGCAGGATAACATCCTCATCAACTACCTCTGACACACCTGTATTTCTTACCTTCTTTTTTGCATTAAGTGCTTCTTTGCAGGCTGAGCTGTACATGTCCATGGTTTGCCTGAGCTCAATCTTTAACCTTTTCATCTCAGCTTCAATATCTCTCTGCAAATAATCACCCAGCCATTTACTTCATACTAAATCTTGTTTCTTTAACTCGATCTATCAAAAACTTAATAGTTCTACTGTTACCATACATTGGATTGTGAATTAACTGACTCATCAGAAGAACCAGATCCACCAACGATATCAAAATTGTGAGCAGTAAGATCAATGGAACCCATCATGAGAGTCCCAACATCGGATTCATCAGAAAACGAACTACGTCCCATAGAGTTCTTTTGACTTTTTCCCTGCCTAAAGTCATGATTAAAGTCCAATGATCCATTTGCAGGACTTTTATGCCTATCTCTCACAGCGTTGAAGCCATTATCATGAGCATGCCTCTCTAGAGTTGTGTTTCTCGCATTACGCTGGACCCTACGATATCTCAAGAATGAAACCCTTGTTGGTTGACCAAAACAACATATAAGAGAAAGAAGTGACATTGGTATTGTTTTATACCTGGCTACAGGATCTTGGTCAGGGTCAGGTAGATTCTGGAGATGAAATGTAGACGATGGTGCACGAGGTGGGACAAGTGTATTGGTGATAGGCCTTTGAGCTGTTCGTGAAGACTGGACTTTGCCTTTAGAGATGACGTAGATGGAGCAAAACTCAGGCGTCGATTTGAGGATGGAAGCAGCAACGTCGTGGGATTTAGTGAACTTGAGAGATCTAGCGAAAGGGTTCTTTGAGGATGATCCCAACACGATGTTGTTCACAAGGTTATTGTTAACGTAATCCAACACTGCTTTCGCAACGTCGGTATCTTCCAGAATAACCTCCGTCATTGAAATCTAAGAGAACAAAGCAAAAAATCAATATACAATGCGTGCATATCAAGTGTTTGACGAAATGCTTGAATGAGAAAACAGAGGAGATTATTTGATTATATACCCCTTTTCGCGCACAATATCCTCTGTACGGAACAAAAAGCTGATTTAAATCATCGTTATCATTGTTTCCTCCATCTGCAACAAGAATTTTTCATGGGTTACCCAATTTAGAAGATATGATTTGTGTTTATCAATGGGAATTGAGGAGAAGATACCTACGGTGTGAATTTTTAAGACGAACATGAACTAGAATCATGTTGGGATTGTTGATCAGATTAAAGAGATGATCGACGGCCCAACGAACAGCGTAGTGACTGTTCTTGTCTTTGTCAATGGCGACCACCGTCGAGTTCACTGGCGCGTGCCCATCGTCCGATGAGTAACGAGCCATTTTTTATCAATCAATCGATCTACAGAGAAATTCTGAAAAAAATCCCAACACAAATATATGTATAATTATAATATTTTCAGGTGTCACCAGACAAGACCAGACTTAAGTCGGGGCCGTGTCTGGGAATGAACAAGAAGAGAGGAGAGAAAAGAAGAGGAAAGAAGATGGGGTAAGGTTTCTTCTCTGGTCTCTAACTTTCTCTCCTCTCTTCTCTTCTTCCCTGTTTCAAATGGGTGATGCTGGAAGAGACTCTATTAACTAACTTTCTCCCCTTTGAACAAAATCAGAGAAATTAGCGGGAGTCAAGATTTATATTAGCCATTGTTTTTTAACTTTCTTTTTTTAAGGTCTTCCACTCTTTTTTTTTTGTGGGATTTTCAAAAATTTCTAGAATGCAAATCTTTTTTTTTTCCTTCTTAAATACCGGTTTTCCAGTTTTATTGCTATAAAATGGATAGGAATCTTCATTTTGGGTTCGGGATGGCGTTGGGTCCGTTTGGATCACTCGAATAGATTAAATAATTATCCAATTATATCCATTTGAGTAAATTAGGGTCGTTAAAAAAATCTTTATCTAGTGTGCTTTTCAATGGGAAGATGTGAATGAAGGGGTGAATATTTTATTAATTTGTGACAATTTATATAGGTTGAAATTTTAAAATATCTAAATAAGAAGGCCTGGGTTAGTGATTTACGAGTTTCAGATATCCACCTTAAAATCAAGATATCTATAGATATGCGGATCTAAACCCGCTTAAAAATAAACAAATTAAAAGGCGATTGATGATAATAAAATAATTAAGAGTGAGGAAATTAAAAATTGTATCTCGCTTGTCGGTGAGCATCTGACCGGTGGTCCGAAAAGAGAGTGGCTGTCATTGGTGAGTCGCTTGCTGAGTTAGAGCCACTAGACAAACGAGTGACGTACCCTCAAGACTAACAAGTAGTATGTAACAACAAATTGGAACTCGTGTCGTTTTTTCAGTTAAGTATAATCAAAACATGTCGTTTTATTAGAGCACCATAACACAAGGGTTAAAAACCAACCTTGTTGGCTCATCTCACACTACCAGAGAATGAAATCTCATTGAGCTATATTACACATTCTTGCTTATAGTATGTATATTATATATAATGTAAGTTTCTTCCTATTGCCTCATATAACATCTGTGATCTAAAAGGTACAATACAATATGCATAAACCAAAGAATCAAAGTGAGTTTTAGTTTCTCATATAGGAAAAGAACATTTCCATTGTCGTCTGTTTTTTTAAAGGAAAGAAGTACCCGCGAGTCCGTGATGCAATAGATTATGTGAGATAGTATCTCTTGCCTTCATTGCATTAACCGATCTCAATGCGTTTTCAGGCAAAACCTCATCATCAATCACTTCAACCATCAGCTCCGGATCCATCTTCTCATCTCTGATTTCACATATGTTGTGAAGCACACAGCAAGCACCCAAAACCGTAGGCAAATCCTGCAGCTTCACTTCAGTCCGCTTCTGCAGACACGCCCATCGTCCTTTTAACCTCCCAAACGCTTCTTTAGCCACTCTCTGCACGTCACTCATCTTCTCGTTGAAGGCGTGCTGCGTCCATGTCAAGTTCTGTTGCGTGTATGGAACCAAGACCCAGTCCAATAGCGGGTGACCCGGTCCACCAGCGACCCACAAGCCTTTCAAAAGACCTCCATTGTTGGCTCTTTGGTATAACAATGACTTCTCCAAGACCTGATCATCAGGCATTGACCCGGGCCATCCGATGCACAAGTCAGTAAATACACCCTTTGGGCTCACGACGGCTTGAATTGTAATCGAATATGAAGTCTTCTGGTTCCTCTCAGTATGCCTCTTGTTAAAATAAGCAGCTACACTGATCTTAGGAGCTATAATCGGAATGTGAGTTGTATACATGGAGCCAACAATGTTTGGAATACCAGAAATCGATTCGAATGTTTCTCTGATGTTTCTCAGAGACTCATCATCTGGCCATTGAAGATACTTGGGCATTAGAACATCTTTAATCGCTTTACATACCTCAAGAACAAGCTTGTGGCAAGTGGAGATTCCTAAACCGAATTTCTTCGAGACTAGACGGAGTGGCTCTCCGGTGGCTAATCTCCATATGCAAACCGCGACTCGCTGCCGCACCGGAATCGCGTTTCTCAACGCGGTGTCTTCTTTCGCCACCGCCGAATTCAGCTCCTCGCAGATTAATTCAAACGTCGACTTTGACATTCGAAACGCTCTTTTGAATTCCTCTTCTGGATAATCCAATCGGCTACACTCTTCCCACCACGCTCTGCTTCGATCCTTAACCCATAACCGCCTCTGCTGACCCGAACCGCGAACCGATCCGGATCCGGTGACCTCGCTGCTCTCCGCCTCAATCTCCGAACACTCAGTCGCAGCAGCAGACACGGAAGCGACGGCGCGTGAGACGCGTAACTTCTTCCGATTGATATCGCCGTTTTCCTCAGCATCGGTGTAGTAATCGTTGAGATCGGAGTAGTAATCGGTCATAGTTCTAGCTCTTTTCCGGTAATTAGACTGGAATTCGGACATTTCTCGGCGGGAAGCAGCGTTACGAGCTTCCTGGTCATGCTTCTCGTGCTCCTCCATCAAAAGCAATGAAGTGAAAAATCCCTTGAGCTTTTTCGTGTCGTGGCTTCTCTTGGACGACGTCGTCTGGCTCTTTACCTCGCCGTCGAAGACATTACAGACCTCTTCTTCCTCCTCGTCTACGGCCTCGTCGATTCCTTTCCGGAAAACGGCGGCGGAGGCGGCTTTCATCGAAGTCGTGTTCTTTCACGTTTTTGTGAGCTTGCTTTGAAAAAAAGGTATTCAATTTGGATTGGAGGAGAAGATTTATTTTTTTTCTTTTGGGTTCATAAATAGAAATCTCGACAGATTTTGAGGTGAGAGACGAACCTTGTGGAACGAGTGTGAACACGCAAGTTGACTTTACTAGGGCACCTCTTTTCTCTTTTCCGATATTGTTTAATTTCTTATTTGTTTTTTTTTTCTCCTCGTTTTTGTTACATTCTTTAGTTGTTTTGGCTTTTAATTTCAGACAGTAGTACATTAAAAGGCCGAACCGGGTTTTTTGTTGTTAAAACTTAAATTAAACTAAATATGGAAGCAAACTTCATTGATCATGATCGATCCAACATAACCAAATTCTTTTAAATTTGCGTGCTGCGTGCTTTTAATCAAAGCAATTTACATTTGACCAACGTTTTTACTATGTTTTGTCACTATTTTAAGCATGTCGGATAAAGTACTACATATTGTTCCATTTCCTATTGAATTTTTGTGAAATTAATTAACAATTTCGGGTGGCGATTCCTATTAAAAAAACATTTTGATGAAAAACTAAGCATTCATACACGAGTTGCAGTGGTGGAGTTGCTAAAATGACGAATATAAAAACAAATCTGTTTGAAATAAATTTTCAAAATATTTACATGTCAGAATAGTAATTAATTCTGTGAATAATTATTATAAAAATATAATTTAGTGGATATATATACATACATATAGATCTCACTATGTTGTGCTACTTAACCAGACAGACAACTAAAAATAAGGTGGATGCAATAATCAATCCAATATGCTCTGCTTGGAATGTGAACTAACTATATATATTATTAAAGTAGTCGTTTTACTATTGGCTATATAATAGTAAATAGTCTATACTCTATAGACTGCGAAATGAATTTATCAGTGTATAAGAGATGGCTCATGGCTATCACTATTTTTTTTTTAAATATATTTTCGATTTAGAAAAACCTCAAATCAATTGGATCACGTTCACATTAATTCGGACTTAGTAGGAGAGCATTTGTAGCAGTAACTATAATTCTATTTTTTAAAAATGTTATTTCTGTTTGCATATTCTAGTGAAAGCAGTGTAATAGACGACAATAACAAAAAAAGAATACTGTTTCCTTTTATCACAGTGTGAAATGAGACAATTTTGAACTAGTAGTCTAGTATGTAGAGTTTAATGAAGATTAGAAAAACAACAACAAAAATTAGACCAACAAAAAAAAATCTTAGATCATCGGTGGAATAAATACAGCAATAATATTTTAAATGCTAGTTTTCCAAATCTATTTAGATGTTTAGAAAATAGCTTCGTATACGTTATTTATAAATTCAAATAGTTTGTGATACATCATATTATTATGTTCGAAAATATCCCATTTGATAATCGATGTTGAGATGATGAGGAGCAAGACCTAGAACGATACACGTATGATTCTCTCACTATTCAGAATTTCAGATGTTTGCGAAAAGATGAGTTTTAGATATGGACATCTCTCTCCACCACTCTTTTATTTGTTTATTTTATTATTTTGTCAACAACATTTTGTAAACGTTGTTATACACTTGTGGAGTGGGTGTTCACACACATATCTTATATTCTTTATAGAAGGAACCGAATAATGTATAGTTTAATATAATACGATAAAGATATCAAATGATTGTACCGAGAAGCTAAAGAGAAAGGAATGTGAACACGTCAAGGAAGTATCGGACATTGGTGAGGCTTATATTTGGCGGTGTGGCACGTTAGGTGGCCGATGGAGACTTTTGGTCCCACTCTTTGTTTCTTTTTTCTTTTTGTGTCTACTCGACTTTCCAAACCAAGGCATTACTCATTAGGGGCTCTCCTTATATTAATTTTAATTAATTATATTCATAACTTACATTTACAAAGTGGCCTCTTCCATCCTCTTCGCCTAGATTCACGTTATTCTATCTTTAATCAGGAAATGACGGATCAAAACTTTTTTTTATTTTTAACTAATCTTCTCAACTTAGAACTGTTATGTGGACTTTTCGCTGAACGAGAAAAGAGTGAACACACATATAAATATAACTTATTACCTAGATTTCTTCTAATTACAGACCAAAACTCAGGATCAAGGGTAGAGGACGGAATAAAACAGATCATCAATTTATCCTGGAGAATATCATAATGTCGGGAGGCAAGGTAACCTTAATCTCAGGGTTGTGAAAGAAGGCAACTTGCACTCACCACAGGATAGTAAACCTGCGTTGCATCTGAACATACATAATTATGAATCGATTATGAAAATTAAGGTAGACAAGATCCTAGAGTAACTCATCAATGATGTGTCGTAGAGATTTAGCATAATATTGCATCGAAGTGGTATGTTTTATAACCTGATTTGAGGTTATTGATTCACGAATATGTCCGTACTACATAAATTCTAAATGTATCTTCATCAAAATCCTGGTGTGTCCTTGTGAATTAAGCATTAATTTAAAAAAGACCTACTATACTCTAAGACAAAACCATACAATTACACGCAATTTGAAAAGCTTTTATAGGCTGAATTGCTGATTAACTAGGCTCAGGTTTATTGGGAGAATTCCTTGTAAGAGAAGAACAAAAATTTGTAACATACTTGTTAATGTCTACATACAGATGATCAGTATAATTCGCCCAATACACACAAAGAGATGCATCAAATCTAAGCAAACGAAAAGAAAAGAAAAAAAGTCAAACGGAATAGAGTGACACATATTGTAGAAATCCATTGCCAGCTTAAATAAAGTACTGAAATAATTGAACTGAATGATAAGAAAATTATACTGACATTTATAAAGCTACTTTGTTTTTTGAATTTTGAAGTTGTTTCGATGAAAGTAATCTCAAACTTGTAATGTATATTAGAATTCTTGCAGACATGTTTCATAAAACCATCACACTTATCAGATTCATAAATTGTTTGGATCTATTCAGTGTCCAACGGACTTAAGAGCATCAGGGTGGGTTTAAAAAAAAATATCTACTTGCAGAACCTAAAAGTATTTTCTGTTGACTATGTAAGAGATATCGAGATACTAACTAACTTGAGTTAGTTTGGTTCGAACTTTAAAGCCAGCGCAGCTAAACTGCTGAATACTTGATAGAGAAACAACCAAAGCAATTAAGGGGAAGGACAAGAAGTTTATTGAACTCTGTAGAAACAGAGGAAATCCATTGGGGGTTTCTTAAACAAACTTCATTAATTTGAAGATGCAACAAGGGGAAAGATTAAAACAGAGGAACAACTTTTATTCCATCTTAAAACACACGCACGCAGTCTCTTCACATTCCGATTACATTCAAACCAGAAAACTAAACAAACATTAATAAAGCAAAACAGAGAATCCATAAACTCAAGCGACTTGGACCTGAATAGTCTTTGGTTTCTTAGGCTCAGGAGGAGGAAGCTTCTGAACAGTCACCTTCAAAACGCCGTCATGACAAACAGCAGAGATCTTCTCCAAATCAGCATTCTCAGGCAGCTGAAACTTCCTCATAAACTTTCCCATTCTCCTCTCCATCCTCACATACTTCACACCATCATTCTCCTTCTCCTTGTTCTCTCTCTGCCTCTCTCCACTCACCACAAGCACGTTCTCGTTCTCGATCTGAACCTTGATCTCGTCTCCTTTGATCCCAGGCATGTCCACGACGAAGGCGTACGCGTTCGGGTTCTCGATGACGTCAGCTGGTGTAGCCGCCATTGCCTTGGCATCTCGCATGTAAGCTCTCGAGGGATTGTTGCGGCTCTTCTCGTTGTGCTCTTCGGGGACTTCGAGCATGTCTTCGAGGATCGAGATTATCGGAAATCTTCCCAAATCCATTTCTTGCAGTGTTGCTGTGTGCTGCTTTCTTGATTCTTCTTCTCTTTGATTTTCTTGTTTTTTTTGGATATGATTGATGGAGATTGTATGAGAGTTCGTGAGGTTTATATAGGAGTGGAGATGGAGATTTCTGGAGAAATGTGGAAAGAGCGAACGTCTCGGTCTGATATTTTCCACTTTCAAGTTTTGAAGCGCTTTCCGTATTGTTCGAGAAACGTCTTGATCGTTCTGGTTTTGTGAATCGTTTTGGATAAATGTGGGCTTTTAAATCACGAGTACCAAGGCCCATTATTTTCTGTTTCGGGAATTACTTTATCCGGTTTGGCACAATTTCATTAGACATGTGACTTTGAAACAAGGAGTATGGCGGTTGTTCCTTGGATATAAAACCTATAACTCTTTTTCTTTTCTAAGTTTAAGTTTGGCAATTTGGCATCACCGACTCTTAGATTTAGCCGAATAGCAGCATCCTTGAAGCCAACAATCAAGGGTTCTAACGACTTTATTTATTTTACTTACTATTTCCTTTGTATCTATTTTCTATTTTGATTAGGAAATAGGAACTAGATATATAAAAAAGGATTTTTACTTAATATTTCCTTTGTATCTATTTTGTATTTTGATTAGGAAATAGGAAATAGATAAAAAAAAAAAGGATTATTCTTACTTTTGATTAGGAGTATTCTTCATTAGACGGTTAAATTCTAAAAGAGGCGTCTATATATATATATAGTTCTCTTCCTTAAACAAGAGATTTTCTCATTCTTCCTTGCGAGGTAGGTCTCAAGAGAATACACAAAAAAACTTTTGATCGAGCTACAAATCCGTCCCTTACACTGCACCAGAATATGACGACCGTCGAGTCAACAACCATCGCAAACGTTAATAGCGTCGCTCCGAGCGGTAACATAACCTCTTCCTCGAAGAAATCTCGTGAGAGCGACCGTCTCCGGCGCAACAGTCGTAAGCAGAGGAAGAAGAAGAAGAACAAAGCATCCCATGCCGATGCTAAGGAGAAGGCGGATCCGCAGCTACAGGTTTCAGAGGAGTTGTTGGTGTTTTTGAAGTCGTATCGGAACACAGTTCCTGTTCCTAGACACTGGTCCGAGAGGAGAAAGTATTTGCAGGGAAAACGTGGTATAAAGAAGAAGCCGTTTCATCTTCCAGGTTTCATTGCTGCAACTGGCATTGAGAAAGTTAGACAGGCTTACGTTGAGAAAGAGGATGGTCAAAAGATGAAGCAGAAGCAACGGGAGAGAATGCAACCAAAGATGGGAAAGATGGAGATTGACTACCAGGCTCTACATGATGCATTCTTCAAGCACCAAACAAAGCCTAAGCTGATATCTCTTGGGGATCTTTATTTTGAAGGGAAGGAATTTGAGGTGGCTAAACTGACGAGGAAGATGAAACCAGGAGGGACTTTGTCATATGAACTAAGAGAAGCTCTTGGTATACCTGAAGGCTAATTAAGATGCAGAGGTATGGTCCTCCTCCTTCGTATCTGAAAATCCATATTGATAAGAGCAAGCACTGGGGTGATTTAGAGGAAGAGCAAGAAGAGGAAGACGAGGAAATGGATGAAGAGGAACTTGAAGACGGGGCTGATACACTGTCAAGCACTCCAATTGGCATAGAGACACCAGATGGTATTGAACTTCGTAAGGAACCTAAGAGGCCTCTATGTCAGGTACTTGAAGAAAAGATAGAGAGAAGTGTTGCTCCTGGAAGATTGCTGGGAACCACACACACGTACGTTATTAAAACTGCTACTCAAGCCAAAAGGGTTGATTTGCTGAGAGGACAAAAGACAGATAGTGTGGACGTCAGTTTACAGCCACAAGAGCTGGAAGCCATGGAGAGTGTTTTGCCTGCCAAGTATGAGGAGGCAAGAGAAGTGGAGAAACTACGCAATAAGCCAGAGGATTTCAGTGACATGGTCGCTGAGCATTCCAAGAAAAGGAAGCGTGATCAGGATGGGAAGAAAAAGAAAGATTTCAACTTCTGAGGTAGCTTCCGATTAACAACTTCTAAGGTGTGGGTAAGATAAACTTATGTTGTTCTAAAATCTCAAGTGTTAATTTTTTGAAGGTATTTAACTACCCATTACACCACAAAAACACACATACACAAATACGTTGTTCGTTTTTTTTTGTCGTCACGCAAATTCATTGCTTCATTTTTAAAATTTCATTTTCTATTCTAATTAAATGAATATTAATTGGGACTATGCGTTGATTTTCTTTCCAAATTTTCATTGTCAAATGGGTGAGTTTTTAATTTTTTTTCTTAGTTTTGTGATATGTTTATGTAAGTAGATCTTACAAAATTTAAATTACTATTATCTCCTCTACTAGATGACGATGTCCGTGTCAAGTCCACAATAAATATGTAATTTCAACTTGATTAGTATGAATGATAAAGCAGTTAATAAAACAACGACACAACCGTATCAATACGGCTGGATCGCAACCGCGACCGCGACCGCAACTTTGTATGTTAGTGTCCACCTACTTACCAATCACACAGCCTTGATAATTTCGGTGTCATGCTTTAAGGGATGTATCATTATCATCATCTCTACCTGATTCAGACACGAGTTAAAGTGAAATGAAGTCAGCTGTTTCATCTTCACTCCTCAATTCGAAGATTCTTTTAAACCCTAATAATCCTCTTTCTCGCCTCAAATCTGTTTTCCTCCCTAAACTCTCTCTGAGACCCATCACTCATCACACCCTCACACTCCCACCTCTAAGATCCATCTCCTCCATGGCTTCCTCTTTCAAACCCGACCAAGCCAGAGTTCCCTCTGCTCTTCCCCTCCCGGCGCCTCCGTTGACCAAAGTTTGCTCTTTCTCCTTTTTTAGCTTGTCGACTTTCTTGGGTTTTTTCGATCACTTTCGTTTTTTTGATCGGTCTTCGTTTCCTGGGAAATTGTAGTTCAACATCGGATTGTGTCAGTTATCTGTGACGGCTGACAAAAAGAGGAACATTTCTCACGCCAAGAACGCCATCGAACAAGCTGCTTCCAAGGGAGCTAAGCTTGTTCTCTTACCTGTCAGTTTTCTTCTTACATTAATTAACCTGCGAAATTCACATTACATTGGTTTTTGTTAGATTTTGAATTGTTTTAGTTGCTCGTGAATTCTATTGCTCGTGCTTGAAAATTTTGACTTTCTCTTATACTGTAAAATGCTACCACAAATAGCTTAGCTCACAGTTCATTGTGAGGTCAATTCTAATGTTCTGTACAACTTACGATAGGTATAAGCTAGTGATCTTGTCTCAAAAGGGTTAAAAACAATCGATGGATTTTTGGTTTCAGGAGATTTGGAACAGTCCGTATTCCAATGATAGTTTCCCAGTTTATGCGGAGGACATTGATGCAGGTGGAGAGGCTTCTCCTTCAACCGCTATGCTTTCTGAAGTTTCTAAACGTCTCAAGATTACAATCATCGGTGGCTCTATACCAGAAAGATTTGGGGATCGTTTGTATAACACTTGCTGTGTCTTTGGTTCCGATGGGGAGCTGAAAGCTAAGCATCGCAAGGTTAGACTTTTTCCTGATTCAAACTTTCATCTCAAACTTCCATAGAAGAAAGTAATGAACTTTCCTCTGCTCTAGGCCATATAATCTCTGTTAAAGGATATGCTAAATCTCGCTTCTGAAATCTTGAATCATCTTTTGAAAGTTAAAAGGCGATACAAAGCCAAAGTTGAGAATTTGTAGATATTGTCATCAGTTGTCGGGATGTAATAGACTTAAATCAGTAATCAGAATGTTGTGTTAATTATGTTCTGGCTCGAATTCTTCCTCCTGGAGCCTAAGTTATCTTATCAGTTCTCAGAACATCTTGTTCGTAATTGATTTTGTTTGCACTTGTGCCTACAGATACATTTATTTGATATAGACATTCCCGGGAAGATTACTTTTATGGAATCAAAAACTCTTACTGCTGGAGAGACACCAACAATCGTCGACACAGGTTTCAATCTTTCTTTTTTTGCCAAAATTCTTCGCCATGCTATGCATAAACAATCATGTATTATCTCTCTAGTATCTAAAAAATAATTGGCAATAACATTTACTAATACGCTTCTAAGACCTTGACAACTATTTTGACTATAGAAATGTCTTTAATGAGTAATGAGGTCATAGTAGGTCCTAATCTCCTTTGGCTTTCTAGTACATAGGAGAAATCTCAAATGCGTTGTAGCACTTGAGAATAATGGTTTTGTTGGTTGTTGCAGATGTGGGGCGTATTGGAATAGGTATCTGCTATGATATCCGATTCCAGGAGTTAGCTATGATATACGCTGCAAGAGGTGAGTCTTTATATTATATGCTTTATGCAAATGGACTTCTTGCTTCCTCTTTTATTTTATTTTTCCAGGTCCATTAGCATTCTATAGAACCTCATCATCCACATGTTTTAATTCCAGGGGCTCATTTGCTGTGCTACCCAGGAGCATTTAACATGACAACTGGACCTCTGCATTGGGAGTTACTACAAAGGGCTAGGTACAATTCACTATCTACTTTTCCTGGCTTCGTTATTCATGAGTAAATCTCAACGCTTACTCGATCTGATTTGTTCCATTTCAGGGCTACGGATAATCAGGTAAATGAACCAATTTAAAATACTTGTATTGACAGCTCAATGAGAAACGCAAGTTTTGTGAGATTTCCTGATAGATTATTAGAAAAACCGGCATTTCTCTTTTGAGTTAACAATACAAGTATATTCTTCTGCTCTCTACGAGTTTTACTATTATATCGACTCTATCAAATTCAAGGAGCAGTTGATAGAAATATGTGTGCAACTTTCTCCAGTTATATGTAGCGACATGCTCACCTGCCAGAGATTCAGGAGCTGGCTACACGGCTTGGGGACACTCTACACTCGTTGGGCCTGTAAGCATTAGACCCTTTTTTCGGTGTTATTTGATTGATAATGAAGCTTTAGTTGAGCACTAAACTCGTAAACATAAAACTTATTCGACAGTTTGGAGAAGTACTAGCGACGACTGAGCATGAGGAGGACATTATCATAGCAGAGATTGATTACTCTATCCTTGAACAACGAAGGTAATCACGGCAACACTGTAACTTTCCTGGTTTCTCTTTAATCCCGTTGTTGATGGAATCAATAATCATCCGCTGATTGGACCTCTGTTTTTGCCATCTCAGGACGAGCCTTCCGTTGAATAAGCAGCGGCGGGGAGATCTCTACCAGCTTGTAGACGTACAACGCCTGAATTCTTAGTGAATGCAGCAGAATTTGTACATCTGAGATACTATCTTTAGATTGTGTGAGTCGAGCACAATTTGGTTACTTCCAAGTTACAACCTCTTGACCGGTTAATTCTTTGCAACCTTGAGTTTAAATTGAACAAAAATAAATAAGTTATGCTTAAGTTAATATCATCAACACCTACTTGGGATGTCGACTATTGAGCTGAGCCTGTTTTGCCTGTTTATAAACTGTAAAGCCTAGTGATCATAATGTGTAAGAAACTAATTTGCAATAAAAATAACAGAGAATCGTAATCATACTTTGGAATATTGGATGGGATTCTTTTCTTGCCCTTGTAAGCTTTTTCACTAGGATAAGCAAATACGTCATTGCCTTCGGAAAACATCTCTTATTTTCATACCATCACCTCATATGCTTAAATTAACATCTATAACTGCAATAATAGGTTTTTCGAAAGCAATTGGAAATGGTAACAGAAAACAAATGTGTTTGCTGAGAAGATTTGTTTAACCGTTAGATTAGTGTTAATTTATATTGTAACTAACGTTTTACTTAATTGCTCAACCCTTTGCATCACAACGCTTTCAAGTAAAACGTAATGTAATTGTGAAGAATCAAGAATGTATATCGAGTTTGCTGATAGATCAAATATTCATAGAATTTTCTGAAATAGGATCCAAGTGGATAAAAGATTTGAAAATGATAGAACATAACGCTTTGTCAGGCCTCCACTCTTGATTTTTAGAAGATGGATGATCCGTGGAGGATTGTTGAATGATAAATGACCGGACGACAAAATGCAGTAACAGCTTACAACAAACATTGACAGTGTGTGTGTTCTCGTCTTTGGAGGAGACACGTGGCCCAAGCCGATAGGCTAGAGTGGTCCATCCCTCTGCGAAAGCACAAGTGCCGTACGCGTGTGGGTGAGGAGGCCGCACGTGCGAGGGTCCCAATATATGGAGAAAACACAGCAATATGGTTCACGTGGCAGGTCACGTGTGGGACCCCACACAGACACAGACACAGACACAGTTGAGCTTGAGCCCTTATTACACCGCGTGAATGAATCTTTCTTTTTTATGTGTCAGCGCTTATTGTCTCTCCCTGAGCAGCTGAATCTCTGACTCGCCCGTGCGATTTTCTTTCCTTTTTAATTTTCTGTTTTTCTTGCACACATCCCTAAAACTCAATAGTTGTTTCCATTGCAAGTTTCATTTCCATCTAATGTAGTATGATGAATGTTGTTACAATGTTACTTTTTCTTTTCTTTTTGTTTGTAATTATTTGTAATTCTTTTTCAACAACATTTTTTCTACTAAATTTGAATGTGGGTGTTAACACAACAATGACACACATACAAATTAATAGACTATATGTCATTATCCTAAACTATAATCCATTGATTCAAAATTTACCATCCTCACTTTGGTCAAGCAAACATCAACTTTAGTCTACCAAACTGAGTTTTACAAACAGTGTGTTATCTAATTCGAATTGCTTTAACGTCTATCAGTTGGAGATGTATAGGTTTCACTTCAGAACTTATGAAATAACTTACAATAAAAACTTTTAAAAAATCAACTTGCCACTTTATTGCCTTTTTGTTTAAATTTAAAATATCGTAAATGATATTTGACCAACAATTATTATGTTGCACCCTTTTAATTATCAGCATATTTTTTTAACGTCTATCAACATAATAATTTAATTTTAATGGGACGTGAAAACAAACACAAATATTTTGGTTTTCCAAACAATCAAACAAGAAATCATTTTTATATAAGTTTCTGTTCTGTACTATATCACTTGCTTGATTTCAAAGGTGTTTTGTATCATTCTATTTTTGTACAAGCATCTATGGTCTAGCGTAACTAGAAACAATATTTACGGGGGGTTCTTCGAAACTGGATGTGATAATGAGATAATATAAAATGGAAAACATCGGCCAAATTGTGATAAAGATGTAGAATGGAAACAACAAGACATAAGTGTTGATGAAATGAGGAACAATCAAGGAACAAGAAAGGAAGTAAGCATGTGAGACTGAAAAAGACTCAAAACAAGTACAGTTCCTTAACCTGTCCTTGTCCAGACAACCTATCGGCAATGTGGGTGTAGGAAAGAGTCTTTGCTTAAAGTTAAAACATTTAGCCTATTTAATTAATCTAAGAGCCTGCTTGATTCTAATTACTTCCTTTTCCAAAACCCACCTACACTCGATCGAGATCTGTCTTTGACAATTTGAGACAAGACAACTCATTTTGGTATGGTAGGGCTCGATTTTGCATTCGGCGAATAGATACCAAAATGAAATGTGTTTGCAAACATGTTCTTAATTAGTTTTGTTAAGTAGATGATTCTTAATTTTTCATTGATTTAGTGACTGAATCCAATTTACGAACTTCAATGAATACTTCATTAGGGAGAATTTTAACTTTAGTTTGACATCTATTCTATAATCTATAGGAACAATTAAGATATCTATTCAATAGGAAATCATCAGTCCATACTCCCTAGTATTATGTGGAAAATGACATAAAAACGGTTAATATGACAAAATGTTTTAGGTACATGCATACATAGAAAAAAATTTGATGAATGCACTTGTGTGGTCCATCTGGTAAGTATACGTGAACTTCACGCGCCGAGATCGCCAGTTATATATAACTCCTCTCTCTCCCTCTCTTCTCTATCATTCGTCGTCGTCTTCTTCTCTCTACAACTTCCGAGAAAGAAACAAAACAAAACAGTTAGAGACATCATCTCTTTCTTTCTTCTTTTGTCTCTTCTTCTTCCTAAATCTCCTTTTTTTGTCGAGTTTCTCAGAACAAATCATGCATAAATCCAAAACCCAATCTAGAAACCCGTCATTCTCTTCCACTCTCCTCGATGAAATCTACAATTCCATCGATCCCAAAACCCACAAAACCCAACCTTTTGTCGGCTCTGTTAACACTACCAAAAAACAGAGCATCAGCGTAACTAGATCAGTTCCTGACCGAAAAATCCACCGAGATCGGTTCTTCGGCTCTGTATCGTCTTCCTCGGATTCCAACTCCAGCATTTTCTCATCTTCCGACACCGAACCAACTCACGGTAAAAAGATATCTTCTTCAAGGCCATTATGTTTCGGCCCATCTAAGACAAAACCAAGAAAAACAGAGGACAAATCTCTGTTTCACCAGAACAGAGCAATCCGAGTGTCCAGCGACTACGATTACGCCTCCGACGTCCCGAAAATCACGAGATACGACGAGAGCTGGGAAAACACGAGAATCAGAAGATCTTCGAAGAGCTCGAGTAATCAAAAGAAGCCCAAAACTCCAGCTTCACCTGGAGTGCGAATCGTTAATTTCATCAATTCGTTGTTCAGCAACAACAATTCCAAACAATCAACGGCGGTTAAGAGTTATCCAAGGAAGACGAGCTACGACGATTCTGCTTTCGTTAGGAAACCAACTGATTATTATCCATCTACGACGTGTTCTTCAGCTTCTTCCTTCTCCAGGTCTTGTCTGAACAAAAGCTACGAGAAATCATCTGATCGTATCAAACGAAGCGTTAGGTTTTCTCCGGTCAATGTCGTCGTCCCTGATAGCAGATCCTATGTAGAGAAATCTTCGCTCTACGCAGAAGCGGAAGAAGAAGATTATTTCAGTAACGGTTACATCAGAAAGTCGGTGAAGAAGAATGTGGAAGGTGGAGGGAGGAGATCAGTGGAGGAGATTGCGAGAGAGTTTTTGAGAGATTATCGCAAGAATCATGAAAACAGTTTGGTCAAGAATAATGATTTCGAGGATTATGAAGATGAGGATGATGACGATGATGATGCAAGTGATTCGAGTTCGGATTTGTTTGAGCTGGATTTAGTTGGAAATCATCATAACATGTACGGTGACGAACTTCCTGTGTATGAAACCACTTATGCTGGTTTGATCTTGTGAAGCTTTTTCTTTCTCTTTTTTGTTTTCTGGTTACTTTTCTTTAGATTTTCGTTTTCTTAGTTTTAATCCCATGTGATTGTTGATGGAAAAAAAACGAAATGTCATGTGATTCTTCACATCTGTGTTTGATTTTGTAACTAAATATCGTGTTATATAAAATTTTGTGTTTGTAAATATTTGATCCAATCCTTTTTTTTCTCATAACCTCATTTTACCTTTCACTTCTTCTATTTACTATTAAAAAAAATGAGAAAGATTAACTATTTCTACAGTTTTCTAATAATCTTGGACAGTGTTTAAACACTCTTTTGGAGATTGAAAAAGAACAAAAAATCTTAACAGCATCTCAACTTGACATCTAAATATCCAAAAAATAGCCATTGTAAAAGACAAGTAGAGAATTTTGACGATGATATTGTTGAGAGGGATCCGTTACGTGCAAAGTTTAATGATTTGTGGAGGATAATAAGATTATTGAAAAAGTAGTTGATGATCCCAAAGGGAAACACCCAATCTACCAACTTTCTCTTTTATATGTATCTATTACCTACTTTAGATCCAAAATTTCACGAATGCACACACTTTTACATATAAACTAATTTGCATCTCTTTATGCATTGAACACTAAAAAAAAAAAAAACTTATAGACTATGGTTTGGTGAAGTTGAAATTTACAGCAGCACAACCACAAAATCAAATGTACTTGGTCATCTTTCAAAAATATAATGTGCATATTGCAGCGGAACAGTGTTTCAAAATTCATATTTTTTGTTCAATAAAATGAAAAACACAGCTGCTACATTGGTCCATGTAGAATGTACGTTTGTCTCTCTTCAAAAATATCTGTTTCAGTCTTTTACTGGACCATCTAATTTTAGTATTTTACCCAAAACCATGATAAACCATTATAAAATGTACATATTATGTGAGTTTGAGCAGTTGCAAAAATAAATAATCAATTCAACATTCTTTAAAATCTCATATATTAGCTGTACATAGATACTGTTTATTTATTTTAATTATCACGGAAACTTTCTATATTAGTTTGGGTACACAAAATTCAGCTTCAAATATTACAAAATTTATGTATACTAAAGTAACAATAATCGCATCGTATACAATAATATAAAGCGTGTAAACTAATAAAACATCGAATCGCTGTTTGTTGGGAATAAAAAGAAAAGAAAGAGGGAGAATCGAGAAATTCGATATCCAAATGAGAAGCAAAGGGGGTGACTGAAACAGATCGTGAATGGACATATTAAAGCTTAATACAATTGCAAGAAAAAAAAGTGTAATTTTAAAATAAAGCAAAAGGATTGTAGCGATGGATGAACATGATGCTTCCATGGGAACAGAGAAAGTCGAGAGCTTTTGCTTTACTTCTCTTTTTCACTTTGATCATCTTTAAAAGTTCCGATTACAATCTTCCCCATTACTTCTCTCAATAAAATAATATAAAAACAATTTACATAAACACAAAGATATCTCACACGCACGGTCGCTCGTACACATGGCCCATTTTCAGTCCTTGTCAAGTCATTTTGATTTATTTATTTTTGGTTTAAAAGTGTTGAGGTTGATTCCTTTTAGTTTAAATTGCTTTGCAATACTAGCTTTATCATGTAGTTTGATTATAGACGATTTTATGCTATCAAACTAGGGTGTTAATATCTTAGATTCCAACTTTTAGGTGGCAAGTTTTACTGATGACTTATTTATGTATATTATTATTGATAGTATATCAGTGAAATACATTTTTCTGAGAAGTTTTCCCAATTCGAATTGTATAAAGTTTTATTTGCTTAACGTATAAATTTTTTAAATATGTATCTTAAATGTATGCAAATTTTCAATACACGTGTAAGAAAGCAAAAGAAAATAAAAAATTAAGTTAAAATGCATTACTGACTGATATGTAATACTGATGGTGCTTGGTCTGAAGCAGGTAACCCGTGTGGCTTAGATTGGGTGTTGAGGAACCGTGAAACTTGCTTGCTCCTTAAATGTATGTATCAATAATAAGCTTGATATTATTGTATTACTCCAAACAACTACTCAATTATGCGGCGGATTTGTATTATTCCGCCAATAAAACCAAATTCTTGTTTCCAATTCAACACCTAAGTATATTTAACGAAGTAAATAATTTAATCAAAGATCGTGCCATGTATTTGCACACAACAATACTCCCTCAAACTCCTAATGATTGCACTTACGACGTAATGAATTTAAGTAAATTATGGTGTATTAAGATTATTGGATGAGGGATACGCAAATTATATACAGATACACATATTGCATTGGTTCACATGTGACATGTCGGGGATGTAAACGCTCTTGTTAAGTGATTGACAAGTACAGTATTATTGCTAATTATACCATGAAATTCAAATTCTCGAGTGTATATACAATTTCTTGGAAATTTTAGTTACAATTTTTGTTTAAAGCTCATTGTTACTTGTTAGTCTCCTCAACTATGGAAGATATAAATTCATATTTATTGATTAAAATTTTCAAACGCTTAAATAATGAATATGTAACATAAAATAAAAATATTCTGCATATACAGTATCTATATGCATTTTAATTAGTTGTGACTTATGAGTTTGTAGCTTTGGATCGAACAACCGTATATTTAAACAGAGTAATTAAACGAGAAGCTAGTAATATTCTATAAGTGCCATTAAACATGCTACAAATCTTTTAGTGCATAGCACGATATGGTTTTGTAAGACTAAAAAGACGTATCCCTTTGACTTTGTAAATGAATATTCAAAAGATCACAATGATTACTTTGTACGACTTAAATACTTAATACGTACGCAGTAATCACGCAAGCAAAAGATAATACATATAGTGAAATTAATATAACAAATTCTTACCATTGTTAGTTGGAGATATTTCGTTTCAGTGTTATCTATAAGCTCGAGCACATAATCTTTGTTTTAAAATTTGGAGGCTCCGCAGCATATAGGATCAGTTTCTGACACACAGTTCAGAATCATATTAATCTAGACAATGAAAACGTTAAATTAATGAACAAAGCTCTGTCTGGCCCAGTGGGCTCATATAATATTATGAGATTTTGCATGGGGCACCCACTTATAGGCCCAGAAAAATCATTTGCCCTCAATTCCCAAAATAAAGTGTTGACTCCAGTTAAGCTAATGACTCGTTGGTCAATTTCATTTCATACTCTCTCTATTTTCACAATTACTTGCAAACCTAAATCCAATTCGAAGTAATTAAAAAGGATACATTATTGTTTTGCCCAGACGATTGCAAAATACATTCCTTATTTTAAAATATAAAATAAGAAAAAGAATACAAAATTATTCCTTTCGTTCCCCGTTCCAATAATAACATATATCAAAGGCTTCAGTTGCATCGTTGAACCTGCATGGCCCATCTTTGCTTATATCCCAGAAACAGTAGATACATGGTATACCTTTACGAACACCATCTCTGCTATCATCGTATATATCAAAATGTGTTGAATGTCCTCGAGGCCATGTGAAATGACAAGAAAACACTGTCGATCCCCAAATATTTGGTCTAAACTTGAACGACCACGAGCCATTCGGAGCTACGATTTGGAGGCCGAGATTGTCGTCTTTGGACTTACAATGGAGGTTTAACGTCGAACCATCACCGAGGCGATTTGTGATCCTCACTAGTGATTGAAGAGTAGACCACTTAAGATCAACATCTGATGAAGCAATGTTTCCCACTTGTGAGAGAGCTATTTGGATGAGTAGAGATATTGCCACCACATAAACTTGTGTTTTTTGGATTATTGCTGCCATCTTTGCAAGAATAAAACTATGTATGTATTTGCTGAATTAATACTGTTTGTTTCATTTGAATTGCTATATATAAAGAAGTCTTCGTGTAGATGTACATGACGATATTAGATTTGTTTCCAAAATATAATTTGTTGAATGCATTGTAGCGAAACAAAAGGAAGTTAAGTTAATAGTTATGGTAGAATATCATCAATATTTATGCATAAAATTTGATTAGTCTTATATAGGCTGTGCAAAATTTATTGCAATTTGATTTTGGTTCAAATTTTTTTGACTTTCCGGTTTATGAATAATAATATCCAAAGGAAATTCTAATCTAGTACATGGATAACTTTTTATGGTTTCGGTTCAGATTTTAAGCAAACCTATATCATTAAGTTTCAAAGAAATTCAGGTTGAGAATATTAATAAAGTAAAGAAAATTACTTGTTCCAATCATAACACAGGTCAAATACATTAGTCTTTTGGTTAAATCTGCATGGCTTATTTTGGTCTATATTCCACGTACAATCGATGCAGGGATTACCCTTACGAACACCATCTCTGTAATCATCATAGATATCAAACCAGTGTGATTCTTGAGCCCATTGAAAATGACAAAAAAAGAGTGTTGTTCCAAAAATATTTGGTCTAAAACTAAATGACCAAGAACTATCCGGTGCGAGAGTTTTGACCCCGAGATCGTGATTTTTAGACTTACAGTGGAGGATTAATTTCAAACCACCACCAAGACGATTGTTAATCACCACCGTTGTTTTCAGAAAAGCCCAATTAGTTGCAACAATGGTTTCCTCTTGTGACAACGCTAATGGGATAAGTAGAAATATTACCACCACATAAACTTCTTGTGCTTTCTTCATAATTGCTATCTTTTTTTTTTTGTAAGATCAAAGTGTTTTCTACGAATAATATTTGCAGTGGTAATCATAAGAAATCTTTGATGGGTCCATATCGTTGTTGGATTCTGTCTCCAAAAATAAATTGATGAATGTACAGTGTATATATGGAAACAAAAGGGAAAGTTAACTGTAGTGGTACAGTATCAATATTGATAAAGATCCCAAAGGAAAAAACTATCCAATGAAAGATGAGATATCATGTTTTATAGATTTTACATTAACGTAGTTTAGATAAATATCCTTAAATATGTAATCCATCACCAATAAATGATATGATCTTCCACATGTCGTCAGTATGTGATTGTGCATCAGCATCTCTAAAAATCTGATCATAAAAAGAAAAATCAGTGAAAATTAGCTTGTCAAAATTAGTGGTTAGAAATCTGCTAAACTAACAAGATTTGTGATGCAGGATAAATATGTTCAAATTTAAATTTTAGCGGAATTCTGATTAGAAGAAGCATTTGATCGACACTCATATATAGGATTTAAGTTGAGTCTGTTAAGAACTGGGGATAAATTGATTTCATCTTCTAGTCTAAAAAAGTCTAAGCAAAACAGTGACCACTAAACGTTTGGTAATATCCGAGACAAACTCAATTTCTGTCGGACTTGGTGAGATGAACATGTTGAGGAAGGAGAGTGTAATCGATGTGAAGATCCTCCAACATTTTCTTAATCGCCAAAGACTGTTCGGTTCTTCTGATATTCCTCTCTCTGTATTCCTGAAAAGTGATGGTGTGGTTGCTGTATAGAGCCATCTTCAGCTTGTTCATGTTCTCTATCTCCTTCACCACCACCGTGTGTATCGGTGACCAATGCTGCGGATTCTGCTCCAAGTACCTGATCGGTTACACGCACAACAACTCAAAATCAAGATTTGATCTACAAACCGAACCATTGCAAACGAGTGAAAGGTGGTACTTACTCGGCGATTCTTTCTTTGAGATGTGCAATCTTCGAGACTGGTGTCGAAAAAGCGATGGAGAATTCCACTGTTTCTCCCATATCCGGACTTCTGAAGTAGTTGCTTATAGGTTTTGTGGCCAAAACTGCGTTTGGATAATACACTTTCTCGTTGTCAAGCTTCAAGAAAACCGTCGTCAACAGATTCATTTCTTCAACCAGCATCTGAAGAAAAAACCAAAAGAATGTAAAAAGTTCAGTTTTTTACATATCATATGAGTTTATTGGAGCTTTGGTGTTGAGGTTTTACCGGGACACCGTCGACGACACAGCGGTCACCTACGTCGTAAGGATGCATAACAAAGACAAACACAATGGACTCAAAGAGGCTTTTGCAAGTGCTTCCGATTACAAAAGCCAGAGCCACGAGTTGGGTGGAGAAGAAGAGCAGAACCTTAGTCGTCGCTATCTCTAGAAGCAGCAGCCAGATGACAATAGTAATCACGATCAAGATCGCTGTCACAAGTTTGTTTAACTGCTTAACCGCTGTTTTCGTGTCGTTTAAGGAATGCGCAAGAGCTTTCCGGCTATTATACACCTTAACCTGATCAATTTGCAACACAACACAAGTCGCTAAAATCAAGAAACACAGATTCACAACTGTAATCAAGAATAAAGAGCATGAAAGTGTTTGAGAAGACTTACCACCCATTCTGTGAAAGCTTTTCTGGTGATTTTCCCGGTCTCTGCGGCACCGTCAAACAAAGGGAATACAAGATCAACCTCTTCCTTAATCATGAACCTAAGCAAGTCTTCTTCCTCTATGTAACTGCAAAAAAAAATATAACCAAATCCAAAGATTTCCATTAGAGAATGCACACGAAAAGAAGAAAAAAGAGAGCATATGAATGTTGTTTTCAAACCTGAAGCAAGGCTGAGCAACATTTCTAAAGACATGGTAAGCAGCAGCCAAAGCCTCCATTTCACTAGTAATCTCTCCTTTATCAGCTTGTTCTTTCCCATCACCGTATGCTGTTTCATCCAATGTGTCAGAGATTGTAGAAAGACCTGAAGTCCTAACTGCTTCAACCAAAACCCGCATTGTCCAAGCGGAAACTTTCTCACGCTTCATCTTATGAACTTTCCCCATATCAATCACTTTCTTCTCTTTAACCGTTCCTTTTTTCACTACGCTCGTGAAACTCAGATGCCCTGTGCTTGGCGTACGCCCCACCCTCTCTGCCTCTTCGATAAGCGGAGGACCAGAGAGCGTTTGCAGAACATACTGGTGGAAAACAGAATCTTGAATCCTGTCGAAAAAGTTAACCACGTTGAAATTCGCGGCAAGGATCTTTAACAAGAGTGTTTTCACCAGCCAAAGGAATGATCCCGTAAGAAGGGAGATAAGAGTCCTGGTTATAGCATTGAGGATCTTTGTGGCTGCCTGTGACCGACGCACGTCGTGGTTGAACAGGAACACCCAAGCAACAAGAATCAAGCTGAGCCATATGAAGACTTGGACGCTCTTCTTCAAGCCGTGCACAAAGTAGAGCACTTTTCTCCTCAGCAGAAAGTTTGTTTCAATGAGGAACACAACCACACGCATGAACCAATTCGTCACCAACATTCCGCTGAATATAACCATCACAAGCACACACCATTTCCATATTTCTAGCCCCCATAAGTTGTGAGTTTTCAGGACATCAATGGTTAAACTAGCAACCAAAGATCCCAAAACCGCCACAAAGAAAGCTATCTCTATCAATGTCAATGCACTTATCTTTCTACGCATCTCTTTGTTCAGCTTCACCTTTTTGTAGATTTCTTCATCTTCGTCTTTCTCCACCTCAGCAGCTTTACTCGGAGTCAACGGTGTCGTTGAACCGACACTCCTGGTCGATTTGTTATTAGGGGAACCTCTACTAAAAGAAAAAGCAGTACCAAGTTGCTCCTTAACTTCCTCCTCTAGATTACTTGTGTCTACAGGACAAGAAGGTTCCACAAACCGGGACTTGGGTTTCGAGTAAACCGACCTCGCAAAAGATTTCCTCTGAGTTAGACCCTCATTGCTCGGATTTGGAGCTCTAGGAGGCTTGTTAGGGCTACCAACACGCTTAGAGATTTCAGGAGAAGGGCTTTTATTAATTGACACTGCTTTCTCGGACTCTGGTGAAGCCATCTTTGAAGAAGCCTTTGATGCTTCCCCACCTGAAACATTGATAACTACTTCTCTTCCTCCATTACTACTCTTTCGTTCCGCCATTCCAATGCTATTAGCATCCATTTGACTGCTCTGAAATTTTTCCCCCAAAAACAAGATAAAGAACACTGTGGGGGTGATAAAGTACCAATTTTTAGCTCGATTATAATTAATTAGAGACTTGGTTACTAAAACAAAATGACCTTCTGGACAGAGGGTTTAAGAAACTCAGGCGCTTGTTCTTAGTTTTTAATGATAAAATGAGGAATCCAAAAATCTAAATTCTTTAAGCAGAGATTTGTCACAGAGTCAATGGATATATAGAGCAAGATAATTTAAAGAACTCATCATTTGTCCCTACTAAATCTGTAAGAAAGATCTAAACTTTCCCAGGAAAGGAAAAATCTGAACTTCCCCAGAGGAAAAGAAACAAAGTAAAATCTTATAAAAAAATACAGTTAGAAGAGAGGGAAATGAGGTTACCAAAAAAAACTTAATTCTTCGGTGAGTATCAGCTCATTTTTGAAGAAGAAGACCCAAAAAAGAGCAAGATCTTAGGAGATAGTAGTAGACAGCACGTTTGAAGAGAATAATTAGAAGAGATGGAAGAATTCAAGCATTTGGTAAAGAATAAAGTCGATAATGAACTTAAAAAGAAGCAAATAATAGCAGCGGTGGAAAAACTTGGCTTGAGAAAATGGCTTAAACCCAGAAGAAGCCAACAAATACGAAAAGCCAAATAATTAAAAAACAATACATGGAAAGAGGAAAGTGGTAAAAGAAAAGGATTGACAAGATCTTACACTTGGACGACAAAAAAAAAAAAAAAAAGACAAGATCTTACACTAATTACTAAAAGGGGGTCCGAAGAGGGAGAGAGAGATATCAAGAAGTTTAAACCTAATCACTTTTCTACTAAACAAAGAAAAAAACAATTGGGACTTATCATTTTATTACTTTATAAATTGAAGATGCCAAGATGGTGGAGTAGTTTATCGACCATTTAAATTCCAAGTCTCTAAAGATGTATTGCTAAACTCCTAACTTTTTTCGTCAACAGCAAAGTTGCTAATTTTATATTAGTATGTTGGATTCAACTCAATGTAAATCCTTATGTATTGGGGAAAATGTCCACACAAAACCTGTTTTTTAGTCAAAGTATCTAACCTAAATCCTATTTATTATAAAATTCGCTTCATAACTCCTATGTACTAGCTGACAAAAAGACACTGCTCTGTCCTAAAATGTCAGTATAAAAATATGTACTATTTTGTAAACATTGCAAGTGCAACAAATTTCAAAATTTCAAATTCCAAATGTACACGAGAATTAATATAATTGTATAGTACTAATGAGAATCAAACAATAAAATCAATTATTTAGATTGATCAACTACATTTTGAAACCTTTCATTGGTGATATACAATTTGTTTTTTGGTTACACACGCATGACGCAATACAAAATTATATTTTTATTTGACCACTGACTAGTGGTGACTATACTAGTCTCTGTCACAATCATTTCCATTATGTCGTTGCTAAAGAGCATGATTCTAAAGAGTACTATTTACTACTATACAACTAATTAATTGGTGATTGGTCATCTATCTATGTGGGAGATTTTGATATCATTATCTAACTGAGACTATTATTATCGTCTAACGAATTTCTACGAGTTAGTTAACCAATCGTAGTTAACTCGACCATCCAAATTTCCAAAGTCGCAGAACCGACAAAAATAATTCAAACGTCGTCGAATAAACGTTGCACAATTACTAACCTGATATTTTTCTGTTCAGACTAAAAAACTTGGTTTTTAGTTTATGTATTTAACATGTGCGAGTTATGTACTATTCCGCTGTACACATGGAGTGTCCAAAATAATATACGTTTCTTGTAAAAAATGTATCTACGTGCATCAAATTTCGAATAATTATCGAAAACTTTGCGGCGTAGTGTTAAAGGTGATCGATACAAATGTTCATCAATTTTAACTTCACATAGTAGTCAGAGTCAAACACAAAACCAATTAAATGGATTAATAAACTAAAAATTGGTACATAACTACATACGATAAAAGTGACAGCTCTTTATTAAACTACATTTTTTTAATATAATTTTTGGTAAACACGAAAAAAGAAAACATTTGTTGGGCTGCTGACCAGACAGCCCTCTGGCTCCATTAACTTTCATTTTGATCGATTTACTAAATAGCTGTTTTTAATCATCCTGTTAATCCTACAACTGAACATGTGTTGTAGCATGTCAAATAATATACAAACTCAAATTGGTGATTGGTCTCAAAAGCAAACCAAAAGGTTAGATTCAAATGGGCAAGAAGAAAGGCCCAATATCAAGCCCATCTCTCACTCAAGAAAAAGAACAAGCCGCCACGTGAAGTTTTACTTACTCTTGGCCTCTGGGGTAACAGTAAAACATAATAACCTCGTTGTGTTGTTTACTTTGAAATGCGATCATTCTCTTAATATTCAAAGAAAATTTTACATTTTTTTCTTTCTATAGACAGTTATGAGGGTATATTAAGAGAGCAAGTAATAAGATGAAGACAACTCTAAATATTTTTCTCTCGCCGCAATTTTTTTTAGGTCTTCTTAGCTACAATTGATCACAAAGCAAGGTTGATTTGTATTAATATTTTGTTGTTACTGGTTTTTCATATTTAGTATTTTTGATGATATGTTATCTTTCAAAAGCACAAAAATATAATAAACCATAAATATGAGATATTTTAGAGTACAAACTACAAAATAAGCTTAATTACGGATTCTTTTTGTTAATTAGATAGATATATAGATATGAACTTTACTTAAAAGATAATATTATAATCTTGCGTTCGAAATAGGGCGGTCGCCAATAAGGTTATAAAACTCAGGTTCGAACTTGGAGAAGCCCTAGAGCAAGCCTGTTTGCAAGTAAAAGATGCAATCAAACGAAGAATTCGTCAAGTTTATAGGCACAGGTGTTTACGGTTCTGTTGATCTCGTAAAATACACTAGAAGCGACGGCTCCTCGTTTCACGCTGCCGTGAAAAGCTCTTACGCCGAGGACTACGACTCTCTCAACAGAGAGCTTCAGATTCTGCGCGAACTCAGAGGTCGTCCAAGAATCGTTGAATGTCTCGGAGACTATTTGGAAGAAGGTCTCTCATATAACGGAGACAAAGTCTACAAATTGCTTCTCGAGTACGCATCCGGAGGAAACTTAAATGACTTCATGGACAAACACACCACCACAGACAGAAAATTGCCGGATCCGATAATCAGAGACTTCACGCGTATGATTCTCGAAGGTTTGGTTTCGATACACGGTCACGGTTATGTTCACTGCGATCTCAAACCGGAAAACATCCTTGTCTTCCCTTGTGAAGATTGGTACGAGTTGAAGATATCTGATTTTGGACTTTCTTTAAAAGTCGGAGAAGTCCCTGAATACTGGAAAATCGACTTCCCGTTTGTTGGAGCGCCTGCTTACATGTCACCGGAGTCTCTCAAGGACGGTGTTGCGAAGAAAGCCCTAGATTTGTGGTCGTTAGGGTGCTTGGTTCTGGAGATGTATACAGGTGTGAATCCATGGGGAGGAGTTAACGAAACTGTCCTCGAGGTTCTTCTCTTTGATGGTAAAAGTCCAGTGATTCCGGAGAGTGTGCCTTGCGTTGCAAGGGAGTTTATTGAAACGTGTTTCGCAAGGAATCCTGAGGAAAGAGGGAGCGCAAATGATTTGTTGTCTCATCGGTTTTTGCGTCGGGAAGAGGAGAAGATTGTTGCCGATGTGACCACCTGTGAAGAGAGAAAAAAGTCGTTGCTGTTGAATGTGAAATCGAGAATCAGACAAGATTCAATGAATACTTTGGAGAAGCCCCTGAAATCGAAGATTTGTCAGTCTAAGCACTCACAGTTTAAGAAATTTTTGGGTGTACTCCTGAAACTTTGGGTCTCCAATTTAGTTACTGTTCAGTAATGTGCTGAATTTGTTATCACTGTTTACTTTTAGTATGTATAATGAAATATTTTATTGGTTACTTTTGTTTTGTCGACCAATTTATTTTCATATTTGATACATACATACATATTTGCAACAGGTGTATGTATATATATTGTAATCCCATATGGCCATATCATAGCTGGAATTGATTTAAATCGGGGAAACCACAAAAAAAGGGTCGACAACAGTGGTACAAGTTTACTTTTAGTATGTTAGGAAAATGCTTATGAGATTTAACACAAACTTTTAGTACAAGAATATCTGTCTTAAAAGGGAAATGCTTAACAGATTTAGCAAAAACTGTATCATTTGCAGTCTAGACTCAAATGCAAAACATGAATATATAACCAAATACTACAATAAATTTGGCACTTGAGTTGAGTACTAGGGTTGATCCATTAGTTGGCCCGGCAAAAGCTTTTATTTCTGAAGAAAGGGGACGATCTCCTATAATCCCAATACTTTTTCTATTTAAAATTGTTTTTGTCGCTATCTTCTTCCTCTTCTCTCTCATTTCTCGTCAAGGTTGTTTACAAGCCTGAACAAAAATCTCTTTTTCAAATCTCATTGTTCTTCTTAACTAATTTGTTGTATGTGGGTCTTCTTGTATAGTTCATAAACCTTTTTTTTTTTTTTGGGCATTATCGTACTCTACATTAAGTAAAAATATAAATTGTTTCAGAAATGGGAGAAGAATCTCTGCCAATGGGAGCCAAACCCCGGAGGAATTGCGTGAACGATTTTTCATTTTTTTCATTTTTCACAATAGGAAAAATATGATTATCATATCATCAATAAAATCGTGTAATGGCCTCAAAAGAAGATCAATTTTGTTGACCAACAAAAAAAAAAGAGAGAGGAAGATCAATTCAGCATCAATAAGCATGGTGGCTTCTCATTTGAAATTCGAAAAGAAGCATTGATAACTAGTGACTTGCTATTGTTTTAAACATTCTCAACCCACAAAAATTGTGATCAGTTGATCACTGAAAAATAATGATTTCATGGACATCTTCTAATCACAAATTTGAGATCCAATCTCAAATTATCAACGGTTCTTCTTTGATGGATCCAATCTCATCACTATTCGAAGCAAAAACAATGACCTTCCCTTGATAATGACAGTTCAAAAATGATAAGAAGACTAAAATACAACAATACATAACATTTGCAGGAGACTCCAAAATATTATATAAATATCTCCATACACTTCCAAATATTCGTTTTCATTTTTAAGGATATATCGTAAGATTTAAGGTGTCTTCACTTTCGCCGAGCGTCTCCGGCAGCCGAACGATGGTGACTCGCTTACGACTCGTTTCGAGAACTCCTCGTCACGCCATCGCCAAGTTCGCTGAGTCTGCCTCTGTATGCTCATGTCGTCTCTTCTCTGCATTCTCCGATACGACTCACCCTGAACCCGATTCTCAAGCCGAACAAGACCCGCCTCTTAATCCCGTTACCGGCGAAGGGGATCGACACGAAAAGCTGCGGAATCTCCGAGTTCTTCTCCAGCAGAATCGAATTGAAACGGCGCGTGGGGTTCTCACTTCGCTGGTTCGGTCGGGTTCTGCGCCTTTCACGTCGCCGAAAGACCTCTTCTCTGCCTTCTCGCTATCATCTCCACCGCTGAAGAACGATTTCTCCTATATGCTTTTCTCCGTGCTAACCGAATCGAAGATGGTTTCCGAAGCCACGGATTTGTTCTTCGCCTTGAGGAACGAAGGTATTTTCCCCAGTTCAGATTCGTTAACGCTTTTGTTCGATCATCTTGGGAAGGCGAGGCAATTCAGAGTGACTATAAATGTGTTTTTGAATATTCTGGAATCGGATTATCGTCCGAGCAAGTTCATGTATGGGAAAGCAGTTTACGCCGCCGTCAAGTTGAGCGATTTAGGTAAAGGTTTAGAGCTGTTTAATCGCATGAAACACGACAGAATCTCTCCCACCGTGTTTATCTATAACGTCCTCATCGATGGATTGTGCAAAGCGGGAAGGATGAAGGATGCAGAAAAGTTGTTCGACGAAATGCGCAAGAGGAGATTAGTACCCACTTTGATAACGTATAACACCTTGATCGATGGGTATTGCAAAGCTGGGAATCCTGAAAAGACTTTTAAGGTGAGAGAACGCATGAAAGCGGATAATATTGATCCCAATCTTGTTACATTCAATACATTGCTTAAGGGGATGTTTGATGCAAGAATGGTGGATGATGCAGAGAATGTTTTGAAGGAAATAAAGGATCATGGCTTTGCACCAGATGCGTTCACTTTCAGTATTCTGTTTGATGGTTATTCGAGTAACGAAAAAGCTGAGGCTGCTCTGGGTGTTTATGAGACAGCCGTTGAGTCTGGCGTGAAGTTGAATGCTTATACGTGTAGCATTTTGTTGAATGCGTTATGCAAACAAGGGAAGACAGAGAAGGCGGAAGAGATTTTGGGGAGAGAAATGAGTAGGGGGCTTGTCCCGAACCTGGTTATTTATAACACGATGATTGATGGATACTGTCGAAAAGGTGATCTGGTCGGAGCTCGAATGAAAATCGAAGCGATGGAGAAACAAGGGATAAAGCCAAATCATTTGGCGTATAATTGTTTGATTAAAGGATTTTGTGAATTGGGGGAAATGGAGAATGCTGAGCGAGAGGTTAACAAAATGGCACTGGAAGGAGTTTCTCCTAGCGTGGAGACATATAACATCTTGATTGGAGGCTATGGAAGAAAGGGTGAATTTGATAAGTGTTTCGACGTTCTGAAAGAGATGGAAAAGAAAGGGACGTTGCCGAATGTAGTTAGCTACGGAAATCTGATAAATTCTTTGTGCAAACGCTCTAAGCTTCTTGAAGCTGAGATTGTTAAAAGGGATATGGAAGACAGAGGGGTTTCACCCAATGCAAGGATATATAACATGCTAATTGATGGTTGTTCCTCAAAGGGGAAGGTGAAAGATGCTTTTCGGTTTTCTGAGGAGATGCTAAAAAAGGGAATAGAGATGAACTTGGTGACTTATAATACCCTCATTAATGGGTTGTGCATGGCCGGAAAATTAGCAGAAGCTGAAGACTTGCTTCTTGAAATCTCAAGGAAAGGCTTTGAACCAGATATATACACGTATAACTCGCTAATATCTGGATATGAACATGCTGGAAACGTGCAGAGATGCATCACGTTGTATGAAGAGATGAAAAGATCAGGAATAAAACCCAATTTGAAGACATATCATCTTATTATCAGTGCGTGCTCCGAGGAGGGGATAGAGCTCACTGAGAAAATATTTGAAGAGATGACGTTGGAACCAGACTTATCAGTTTACAATTGGGTTCTTCATTGCTACGCAATACAGGGAGTTACGGATAAGGCTTCGAAGATGCAGCAGGAGATGATGGAGAAGGGAATCGTTCTGGATAAGACGAGTTACAACAGCTTGATTCTGGGACAACTGAAAGTAGGAAAGCTGAGTGAGGCTAGAAGTTTATTTAACGAGATGAAAACCCGAGGATTGAATCCTGAAGCTGATACATATAACATAATGGTGAAAGGGCACTGTGAGGAGAAGGATTATATGGGAGCATATGTTTGGTACAGAGAGATGCGGGAGAAAGGTATGCGATTAGATGTTTGTATAGGCGACGAGCTGGTATCTGGGCTTAGAGAAGCATGGCGGTCAAAGGAGGCACAGATTGTCAGCTCTGAAATACATGGTCACAGGCTCGATGATGTACCAGTGGACGAGGCTCTATCTACAAAAGAGAAGCTGTGAAAATCAAGAATGTGCTCTTCGCCTCTTCAAGACAAATTTCTTTGATTAAACCAAACCAAACCAAACCGAATCACCTAATCTCAGTTGGGTTTGATTCGGTGTTTTCGACATGAGTGATACTTTGTCTGGGACCTTAAGAGAAATCCACAAACTTTGTTGGGGAATTGGACAAGTATCGAGAAGTACCCGTAATACAAAATTCGGTTATGTATACGTTTTTACGAGTTTCTTAATTTCTGTTATTTTTATCTTCATAGGGATTTAACGATCTACCTAAGGTTTCATCTTTGGTTTTCCACAAAAACAAAGAATTTGATCTACTAACGTTTTACCACGCGTATTAACCCTATCTAGTTGATTACTGTATGTGATTTTTACAGAACGCCTTTTGAGAGCTCGATCCATGTTAAATACTGTATGTTGGGATAAACATAAGGAAATTTGAAAGATCCACTTTTTAGAGCAAATAAGCAAGAAACACTTGATAAAACCAGTAACCACAAACTCAGACCATCCATCATCTCTGTCACTTTCTTTCTCTCATCTTGCATATTTGCTTTATTTTAGAAGCATTTTTCACCTTCAAAGCGAAGGAGGAACAAACTGTCTAGACAAACTAAACAGATCTTTACCCTCAAACGGTGATGTCCATTCTCTCCCGTTCCCCACTAAACCAGCATCCTGCACTCCCATAGCCATGCCCATCCCATTCCTATTCCCCATCGTTCTCGTCTTTCCATACATGTTCGCTTCATATGGGGATGCCGACATATACTGTTGGCTAGGTCTCGGACAAGCTAGGCCTTTGTCTAGACTCCAGTCGATGTTGTTGTAATCCAGTTGTCCCATCGACCCATCCGTGTTCCAGTCCAGCCCAGAAGAAGATCCTGATGCAGTCACTGATCCATACCCTGAGAAGAGGCCAAGAGAAGCAGCTGGAGACACAGCAAGCGGTGCAGAACCCCCTCCCATTCTGTGGCCGTTGTTCGATTGGCCTTGATACTGTTGATACTGAAGTTGCTGGTACATGAGGTTTGAGTTCAGATCACTAGGAGTCAGAGTTCTTGAGGGTAAGTATCCATTAGATTGAGTTGCCTCAGATCTATTTGCAGGGTACCAACCGTTGCCTGCTGCTGCTACGGTAAAGGATGAGTTCATGGTAGAGACAGGTAACACATTTGTGGTAGCGGATTGAGAGCGTTGCTGTTGTTGTTGTTGTTGTTGTTGCTGCTGCTGCTGCTGCATCACCACAACTGGATCCCTCATTTCTTGCTGCTGAAGTCTCTTGAACTGATCACCTAGAGCTGCCACATAATGCGTTTCTTCTGTTGACCGTGGCAGTGGTGTCTGTTGATATGGCATGCGTCTCTTCTCTTCCTGGGCCGCACTTTGCTGCATTTTCATCCATTGCAGTTTCAGGTCAATTCCCTCAATTCTATCCAACGAATTTACATTATGGTTTCCTGATTCGCCGCCACTAATGTAGCTGGATCCTCTCGGGTAACCAAGATTCTTTCTGCCATCTTCGCTAGCTGCAGGATACACACCTGAGTTGTTAGGTTGCAACTGAGTTACTATGCTCTGACTTGTATGCACAGAAGGGGCTCTGCTATTGCTGACAGAAGTGTTACCACTAATATCCCCCGCTTTTCCAGAAGCAGTAGACTGGTCTTGCTTCTGTTTTCTTAATGATTCTTCTGCTTTCTCAATGTCCCCTTCTGCAGTAACCACAGCTTTTTCTACGTCTTGCTTAGTGCACTTATATTTTGTTTCCAACTCCAAGATGCTACCTAACTCTTGCGATATATCAAGCTTCAAGTTCCCAGAGGTAGGATCTAGTTTCTTATCTGCTACTTTGGCTCCACCATCATCAAACAGCCAATTAATGGATTCCTCTAATTTCCCTTCGTTTAACATGAGGGCGTAAGTTGCCCGCTCATGAGCAATCCCCATTGCTACGAGCTGCTGAGCAAGGACTTCAAGTTTCCTCGACATCAGAAACTGACAGCATCGCTCGTGCAACTCCTGAGCCCGCTTTTCCCTTTGACGTTGGTGCTTCCTTTCATTCTTCAGGCGCATCTTTTCTCGCTTGTCATTGTCAGCTCCTGGAATCATTTCCTGTTTTGCAGCTGTAGTAGGTCCTTTCTCTTTGTGATCTTCCGAGTCACCAGACCAGCTACCATTATTAGAGGCAGAATCACAGTCGGCTCCATTTGAATCCGACTCGTCAATGTTTCTGAAACGGCCATTATTGTGAAGAGATGAGGAACCAGTTGCTGAAAGCGACTCAATGGTTTGAAATGTCCCCAAAAGAGGATTGTAAGCACCAGCAATAACACCCATGGATCCAGAGGCTTTACTAGGTGTCGTCTTCTGTGAATCATTCATAGCCTTCTTGTCTCTCGATTTAGTCTTGGATACGGTAGACATCTTCTCGATTTATCCTGCACTTCTCATATAAACGAGAATAGTCAATACATAGCTTTCAGATTCTTCTCGCAAAAAAAAAAAAAACAAAACACAATAGTCGTATTCTCGTTTAACAACAAAGATCAATGACCTTCGAGCTGCAATGTCAAAGCTAGAGAATTTTTTCAATGAAAGACGGAATCAGTAATTTTACAGAGACGATCATTTACGAAGAAGTAGTAGAAACATCACCTAATACCAAATATCACAAACGCACAGATCCATTGCAAGAACGAAACAAGAAATTAAACACGCGACAATAATCTGCGAGCTAATCACCAATATTTCGAAGATAATACTATCGAATAAGGTCAAAATGCAAAATTTCAAGGACGAAATTCGAGGGAGTCAATAAAACCTAAAGGCGTGGAGGGAAAGTGAAAGGAAATGCGATTTGATGAAGAATCTAAATCGAAGTATAGATCAGTGATGAGAAGGAAAAGAGAGAGAGAACCTGCTTGATCTTGATCGGCGTCGTTGACGAAGATTCAGATCCGGGGAGAGAGAGAGAAAAAGAGAAGCTGAGCTAGGCGATGAGGATGAGGAACGAGCGGAGTGCGATGATATGAATAAAAACTAAAAAGAAAAAAAAACTCGGCGTTTCGAATCCTCGAATCGAAATGGTAATAGAAATTAGGGTTTGATTAAGAGAAATAAAAACTAATTTGTCTTTTCACTCTTTTTCTTAACAAACTAAGCCAAAAAATAAAGAGTTGCGAAAACCAAACCAAAGTCTTCGTAATAAATCGTTTAATAATCTTAGCCATTTGATTTATTTTCTACATTTCAGTTTTCGTTTTTCTTCTTTTCACGCTCATTTCCAGTTGTACTTGTTTGATTTCAGTTGTCAAAAACTGAATAATAACAATTAATAATTAAAAATTCCGACAGACCATTAATCTTGTAAGAAAATCCAGAATTACGTAATATTTACATTAAAATAAATGTACTTTACTGAAAAATAACGACGCCTTGTTGGGCTTGGTGGTTTTACTCTTTTAACACTTTTCTAAGTGTCGAGAAACTTCATAAATTTTCAATATCTAGCATAAAGTTTGGAAAGACATATCAAAATCACTAGTTGAATAATAAGAAAAAAAAACTAAAATGTTCTAATCTCTAAATTCAATACCATCCCCATAAAGTTTCAAAGACTTTTGTACGAATCATACTAATTTAGCTAAAGCTACATCCAAGGAAGAGAACGATATCAGTTTTATATAAAAAAAAAAATCAAAAACTATATTTCGTATAAACAAACATTGTTAGAACGGAACCCAAACTAAATCACAATTTATTTATGGAGTAGATTTTAATTTGATAAATTATTAATATTAGAAAAATATAGTAAACCGAAAAACTCAAAACAAAACCGGACCAAAACGGCGAAGACCATTAATCATCCAATCCAGGGTTAATAACTTAATACACACTAGTATCGTCTAATTTTTGATTAGTCGTTTAATATTCCTGATGTCGGGTCGGGTCGGGTCGGGAAGGGTCAAAAAGGTCCGGCAGCAGAATCCAAACGGCAACGTTTTAAAGGTCTTCGCCGATTAATAGTGGTCACTCGCAGTTTGATTTTGGATTTGACGCAACGCTATGAGCTTGGCTTCAGTTATCCACTACGGAATCCTCGCTCCGGCGAAATCGGATCGAATCATTTTTAGCATTCCGGTGATTCCGCCGGACTTTCCAGCTCGTGGGTGGACTGAGTCTCGTTTCTCTCTCCTTACAAATCCCTCTCTCGTTTCAGGTCTCCTTCTCTTTAGTACACACATTCAATGTGTTTAAATGGACGGATTCATCTATCTGGGTTTATGCTAATGTGCTTTTGGGTTACGATTTTGTCAGCTTCAAATCGTCGTCTCCCTCATCTTTCTCCTATTGCTTGCTCCAGAGATATTGATCAGGAAGATGATGTTTCCTCTTCAGGTGAATGCTTCTCCTCCGAAATCATGTTCAGTTTTGGCTCTACATTTTCCGATTCAAATTCGTATTGTTTGTATTGATCTTCAGAAACTGAGTTTCTTACATCATAGTATGATTTTAATTTTGCTAGCAAGACACAGTTGTATACCGTGAAAACATATTACTTCTAAAAGAGTAAAGAAGAGGCTTTGTCTTGTGACAATAATTTTTTTTTGTGGCGTGTTAGTACAGAGAAGGAGAGCAGAGATCTTCTACCACACAAAGATGAAGAGAGTGCAAGAATCTCTAATTCTTTTTCATCAATAGACAATGGAAGCCTGAGAGATCATCAACAAGAAGAGACATACAAAACTTCCTTCAAGACTGTTGCCTTGTGTGTAAGTATCTTCTTGCATCAGCTAATACTTTAATTATTCTAAAAATGAACCCTAATGTCATATTTATCTCAACAGGTAAGCGCTGCGGTGGCATTTGGAATCGGAATAGGTTTGAAGGATGGTGCTGGCAAGGCATCAGAGTTCTTCGCAGGGTGCGTAATGCTTTAAATATTGATATATATAAGCTCACTTAGCTATGAAGGAGATTTCTTAAATTAACTGTTTTTCAACTCTTGCAGCTATTTATTGGAGCAAAGCTTGTCAGTGGACAACTTGTTTGTTTTTGTTCTTGTCTTCAAATACTTCAAAGTGCCACTCATGTATCAGGTACTAAATTATCTGCACAGAGATTTAGCTCTTGACTATAATAGAGTATTCTGATTCTAATCATAATTTACTATATTGGATCTATAGAATCGGGTACTTACCTATGGTGTAGCTGGTGCAATTGTCTTTCGCTTCACGCTCATATTGTTAGGAACAGCCACTCTTCAGGTGATTTCTATGTTTGGATCACAACGTTTGATAGTGAATTTTTCTTTCTATTTTAATCGTTTTCCGCCTCATATGAGATCAATTTCTAAATTCACCCTACTATCTTTCAGAGATTTGAAGCAGTCAACCTACTGCTTGCAGCAGTACTCTTATATTCTTCTTTCAAGGTACATATTATTAATCTTCGCATTTATACTTATAATTACACAGAACTAGCGGTATGGAACAGAAAGAAGTGCTCTTCACTTAGTTTTCCTTTGCCTAATGTCTTAATACAGTTATTTACAAGTGAAGAAGATGATACAGACCTATCCGACAACTTCATTGTAAAGACATGCCAGAGATTTATTCCTGTCACATGTAATATATCTGGTCCTTTTTGTTCCTGTTTCTGCTAGTTGCTTATATGTTTGTTACTTTCGAAGCTTTTTTTTTTTTTTATATATATTTGATAATATGTAATTTGGCGTCGAATTTCAGTGCTAGTACTGTTTAGCCTGCTTCCATAGCTAATTTTTTCCCTTCTTTCTTATGTTTTTACCTGTCTGCAGCAAGTTACGATGGAAATAGATTCTTCACAAACCATGATGGCATTTGGAAAGTAAGTATATAACGAAATTTTCATTAATAATTCAAGGTTATGCACCAGTCACACTTTTATCATGTGGACTCTCATCAAAATATTCCTCAAGTGTGCTTTGATTGGGTTCTAATTTATCTCGAAATTTTTTGGGCAGGCCACACCATTGCTACTCACAGTAGCAGTGATCGAGCTCAGTGACATAGCATTTGCTGTAATCTCTCTCACCACTTTTTTGAATCTGATTTGACTCTCAAAAATTGAAACAAAGCACTGATACTGGTTGCCCATTCTCTTAGGTTGACTCGATACCAGCTGTTTTCGGCGTCACAAGGGATCCGTTTATTGTCTTGACCTCTAATCTCTTTGCAATCCTAGGTATTAGTTTGTTGACTGTACTTAATCTTGTCAGTGTCTATGCCGTCTCTTATATTCTCTGGTGTTTGAATTTGCTGCAGGACTCAGGTCTCTCTATACACTGATTTCCGAAGGAATGGACGAGCTGGAATACTTGCAGGTATCTTTTTCATCACTTCTTTTATATTTCATTCAGCTTATCTCTATTCCATGATCGAACAAACTAAGAAAGTATGATTTTTAAATAAACTCGTCTTCGCCTTTACCAGCCATCAATAGCAGTTGTTCTTGGCTTCATCGGATGCAAGATGATCCTCGACTTCTTCGGTATATATAATATCTCTCATCTGCAGTTTCTGTTTGAACAAAACTATTTAACTACCACAAAAACTAAGCTCTCACAACATTTGTTCCTCCTTGCAGGCTTCCATGTATCGACCGAGGCATCACTTGGTATCGTGGCCCTTTCTCTGAGCACCGGAGTACTGTTGAGTCTAACAAACAAATCCGGTGACAGCTAATTACGAACCAAGAACAGATTCCAGATGTAATCAATCAAAGAGTTCATGAGAACAAAATCGCATTGTAACATTGTTCATTAAAGCATTTCGCAGATGTATTACTGTAGATAATAATACACAAAAAGTTGCATTCTTTGCAAGATGTATTTTACGTTTGGTTTGGTCGTTATGAAAATAGCGAGATCTTTAAAATCAACCTTACTATTCGTCTGTTAGAGATGCGTTGTGTGGGTTTAGTTGGGCCCGTTATGAAACAAATTGATAGGCCAGGCCCATGCGACTTTTGAGACGAGTCTCTTCCAACAATTAAACGATGATGAAGATGAACACAATGGTTTACTGAAAACTTCAAGTCACAGACCGTAAATGGATCAAAAGTTGTGTTGTGCTCCATACTTAGATTATGATGATGAGAGCATAGGTGAGTGTTGAACATAATAATGGTCTGCTTCCTGGTAGTGTGAATTGAGTAGTTCGTACTTTAGGGGAAGTTTCAGCCTAAAGAAAAGGTAAGCAGTGAAGAACATTCGATTGATCACATTTCTCTGTATGTAATTATGTATGATGTTTAAAGTAACTAATGGTCTCGTCGATCTTGTTTAAGACCGTCCTGGACAAGAAACTGATCCGAATCTAACAAGAGTTTACATCTTGAGTCCAATTTCTGATACTATACGAGATTCCTGAATTACCAAGTTGAACATCTGATGTTTAAAGATGATTTTGTAATGTCATGGAGATACTCATCGCCAGGTTTACATATACTTTTAATTTCATCATAATTTCTTTGCAAAATAATAGCAAATAGATAGAAAGTGACAGTTTGTAACTTGCAATACACAAACGAAAGTCAGAGATACACACCATACCAGTTCCGTACACACCCATCAAACACATGGACTGGGGATTCACATTCACTTATTTAAGGAGTTACCTTGGTTAAACCGGGACTCTTATCACGTAGTCGTGGGAGCTCACTAAAGCCTGGAAAGCAAAGCAGAAAAATAAGACATCTTTCGAACAAATTACAATAAGCAAAAGCAAATTATGTGTCTCAAGATCAATGCTCGAGACTACTCAATAGACAAGAAAAGCCTAAGCAAGATGTAGAATTTTGTGATGTGTTTACCGCCTAGAAAGCTCAGGTATCAGATTAAACATCGTGAAGGTGGTTGAAGCCCTCCAACTGCTTGAGGTTCTCCCAGGCTTTCTCCAAAACCTTGGCCTCGTAGACCTTCTTGGTCTCGCCATCAGCTACCTCCACAGTGAGATGGTGCATTGTTCCTGCCACAACCTGTGTTTTTGCACCAAGTAGCCTCCTGTACTCCAGAGTCACGTTCTGCATACATAAAGAGACCTCAGTGTCTTCATTTAATCAACACAAGAGCTCAAATTCATATATGATTCAGAGGCAATGAATGTGTTCTAGGTTACTGAATTGAGAAGAAGACCACAACAAGCAAATCGATTAAGAACCAGTTTCTCAAATAAAATCCTGGAAATGGTTTTCTTCAAAAACTTTTGCACCCCAAAAATAACAATCGCCCAAAATCTTCCAATCAATCTACGTGTGAGGAACAGAGTTCATGAATTACAGATAAATTTGATCAAATACTACAGAAGCAAAATGATCCGATTGCTAAATTCCCTGGCAATATGCCGACAAAAGCTACACCCAGTGAAGCGATTTTCAATTTTTTCATTCAAGTTTCCCTCTATGAATGAACGATTTACCATAAGATCGGACGAGAAACTACACAATTTGCTATTAAAAACAAAAATATCGACTAAAAGGATTTAAGGAAAATGAAGGTAGTGAGAGCTGAGCGTAGAAACGCACCTCCTTCTTGTTATGCTCATCGACAGCGAAACGAGCGAGGGACTCGACTTGAAGATCATTAGCATTCGCATCGATATCGCTAATTCCTCCGACGACTGTTCCTTGATCCGCCATTATCGCTTCTTCCTTTCTGATTTATCTCCAAATAATTGATTCGTAGATAAGTCTCTCCTCTTCTTTCTTCCGTGTAAAGTGTAACTATATATGTATCTAGAGGGATTCGTTAAGCGCGTTTTTTTTTTGTCCTTGAAGAATAATTCTTTTCCTTTGATTAATTAAATATTATGACTCATTGTAGCACTAACTAGAGAATCTTCTTTTTTGTCGACATCTTTAAGATAATCTAATTTTTAGCTTAAATATGATTAAGATAACTTCGACTTTCTTCACAAATAAATAAGCAATAGCAAACAATTTCTAATCAATCTGGTCGATAGATATAGCCGGTTACATTTAACCGGATTTACAAGCATGAGTCTGCAAAGACGACTTTTTACATTTTCTAATTTCTTGGACAAAAGTAAATTATATAAAAAAAAACTGCTCAAAGAGCCTTAATTCCACGGAGGAGAAGACGATCGGTGCACAGAAGAAGAGGAACCATAGTTGAGGTCGAGATTATGAATCTGTTGCATAAGTTGTGAACGTCGTTCCTTGAAGAAATCCAGACGAGTGGTTAGCTCCATTAGAGCTGCAGATGCTGCAGGAGGATGATTATGATGATGTCTTGCGTAGTCCATTACCTACAAGACCGTATAATTACACAACACAATTAGGATTCTCAAGTTGTAAGTTTGATTTTTACAAGCAAGAAATGAGAAACACTAACAGGAGAAAACTCTTCCATTGGAATGCCCAAGGATGCTTCATTCAAGCTCGGTGAGCCAGGTACTTGTCTGTTGTTTCCTCTACCGTTTCTCCAGTCTGCTCTTAGGCTACTTTCATCCTATATGATTCGATATAAGTGAATAAAATGGGGTCAATGGTTGTTTATGAGATTCCTCGGTTACATAATTTGATATTTGTACCGTTCTTTGATTTCTTTCTTGATTAACGAAAGCAAGAATGGAATCAAAGTCCTGCTGAAAAGACCTCCTGCAACATTGTTAAAGTAGAATATTATATCTCTTACCGAGTTTACTTTTTAGTCATGATATGACTTGTGCTTGAAATAGAGCTAAAACCAGGTGGAGCGTCTACTAAACTCACAGTTGAGTATTGTGATTCTGGAGAAATTGGTGATGGCTTTGAGCGTCTGGGAGTGAGCTTAAGTGATGCTGGCGCTGCTGATTAAGCTGATGATGTAATTCTGCAACTTTCTGCTTCAATCTTGCGACATCAGCTTCAGCAAGAGCAATCTCCTCAAGCTCAGCCCTTGTCTTCACATTTATTGTGATGTTAGAACCAAGGAGAGCAAAAGATATAACGGTAAAAGTGTAAACAAAAACTGATTTCTCAAGCTAAAATTATAGACTGACTTTAGAATCCGCAGCTTGTGAGCTAAATTGTCCACAAGAAATGCTTAGACCAACTTCAAGAGCGGATCGGAGGTCTCTCTCAGCTTGCAGTTGCTCTTGTAATCTGCCCACCTGACAATTTCACAAGGAAGCTTGGTCAGCAAAATGGATTATTTATTTTCCCTCAAAATTATACAGACAAAATGGAGAATAGAAATACGAGATCTCAAGAGAAGGTTTATATACATCTTGTTCAAGTGCCAACCGACGTTCATGCAAAGCTTGCTTCCTTCTCTCCAAGCTAGCTTGTAATACTGCATTTCCCTTAGCCTGCAGTGGTCGACTCAATCAATACAACAACATTATAGAATCAGCATAAAATACTTCAACTGCCAGAACAAGTACCTCTTTAGCGATTCGTTGCCGCAGCTCATCTTTCATGAGCTCGAGCCTCTGTATAAGAAGCCTACAAGCAGTGAAGAAGCATTTTCATAAGCGTAAGTCAACCTCACAAGAACAGAGACAAGTCATGTGCTGAATTCCAGGGAATTTATTTCCATTCAGGATAAAGTATCTTACTCGTCATTTTCTGAGTTATCAAATGATCCTTTGCCAGGTGTTTTTTTGCCCTGCACACAGACACACAGTAAACAAAGATATGAATTGAGCTATGGCACAGAATTATCACTTTTCATGCCAGCAATGGAAAACTTACGTTGCCTCTTCCCCAGGACGAAGAACGCTTCGCATTGACTGTTGATAAACCAGTACTTTTACATGCAGGTTTCTCAGCTGAAGATGTGTATCTAGGGCCAGTGAGAGGAGTAGTGGGATTGACTGATGGGATAGCCTCTCTTTCTGATTGATAACAATTATCAGTAGGTGATACGCTGGAAATTTCTATATCTTTAATTGGTTCTTCAATATGTCTTTTCACTCTAGTGGGCAAGTCTGTACTCTCGGCTGAACAATGAATGTCTCTAGGAGACTCGGCATCTGAATCTTCAACACCAAATCCCTGAGAGAAAGCACTCAAGGAAAGAATAAATTAGGATAGACTTTCTAGCAGCTTTAAATATTACAAGTTTCGCTAAGAATAATTCTAAAGTTCAAACACCAATAGACTACATAAGGCGTAATGATAAGAAGATAGAAGCCAATGGTTGAAGCAATGCATACAAATGGAAACGACTTCAAACACGATTGCCATAATTCAGAACTCTGAGGTGTACTCGGACATGGAGGTATGGAGCAGTGGGATAAGATGGGAAGAACATACCTTGTAGTCATATAGATCACTGCCAGTATAATCACTGCTCTCACTCGGTTTTCTTCTCAGAAGAACATCATTATCATCATCTGTTTCCTCTCCTGCTATATTCAGATTATGCAAGTCAGGACGTTTAACCTCTATGTCCTCTTCATCACTTGAGTTCTCAGGCCCACTGTCGCCAATATGAGAATCAGTAGAAATGGAGCATCTTTCAAGATCTTCATCCTGCAAATAAATAGCTGAGCATATAGTATTGTGTTGCAGCAGATATAAATTAAATGATCGAATGACATCTCACATTTATCATATTCCCATAATCATCCAAAAGGGCTGTGACAATGGCTTGAGCATTATTGGCGGCATTAGCGGCAGCAAGAAGCTGGGCAGAGTTATCTCCCAGAGTGTCAAACCCTTCTAGATCACATTCTCCAGCCAATAGAGGACGTAAGAGCAATGGGGACATACAAGCAGCTACAGCAGATGAAGTCATTCGGTTCTCACAGGAATGAGAGGTGATAGTGTGCATCATCTTTAGAATCCTACAGAATACAACCCACACTGAGAATAGAGCTGTTTGAAGTAATCTATTCCAAGCAGGTTTCCATAAGAGCACGACATACTTCCCATGGCATATGCATTCTACTGTAGCCTAAGCAGTTTTTTAAATAATTTCAAAGACTACATCTGAAAGCGTACCGCAGTAGTAGTCGCCTGTTTGGTTCTGGAAAAGTTTCAATTATAGCGGAGCGCAGTGATTGAACCCGAGCTTCTTTATGATCAATTTCTATAGAAAAAAAGGTAAGAAGCGAGTAGTTATATACGCACATACACCAAAGTACAAACATAGATTCCATATACTCAAAGACTTACTATAAGCTTCCAGCAAAGCAGTGCAGCACGACGCTGGAACTGGAGAAGAAGGCAACTGCCGCAGAACATGCTGCAGATACAATAACATGACACAAATATTTCAACACAATAAATCAAAGTATAAAACTGAAAATTATAGTTGACACACATTATAGTACCTTAACACAGTCTCCAACAACATGCGGATCCTCTTCAAGACTGAATTCTGTCTTGCCTAGATAAGTAAATTTGGAACATTTTCATTTAAAAAGAAATTTTTAAGAGAAAGGTAATACGGGAACTGAGGGTCCATATTTACAATATCAATACCTTGTTCGTATGCTTGAACTCTGCGTTCTACCTCCTCAACATCTGCAGACTGCCTTAAGATTCCCTCTACTTTGGTTCCTGCGCAGACAAAAAAGGTGCACGATAAAAACAAAAACATTATATGGGCAATTAGAGACAAAAACCCACTTCTAGAGTAGCCTATATGATGAACTAAGAATAAGTAAAATATATGGCACTAAAGATAATAAAAAATCAACTTTCTAAAGGATAAACAACAGAGAATAATGCTAAGAGATTTAGAACATAAAATGAGGAAACTAATTATACAAGGAGGCCAATACTTACCATAAGTCTCAAGAAATTGAAGTGCTTTCTCAAGAAACGATGGACTTCCATCAATTTCTTCTAGAGCAAGCAAAATTGGTCTTCCAACAACCGAAGACTTCAATGGTCGCTGATCCCTCCCTGCATACCAGGTTGTGAATGATGTGAATATGAAATATGAAGGGAGCCATAGCAGAGGAGCTAACAATAATAAAATAAATGAGAACTAACATGAATTGAAGGACCCTTCAACTGAATCGTTAGCTTCTGTTCGGAATATTCCATTTTGACCAATAACAAGTGCTGCATTAGGAGCTTGTGCAAGGGCTTGCTCAAGAGCGGCCTTCCACTCATACAAGTCGTCCAATGTCTCAGCCTACGTGAGACAAATAATTAGCAACTCATAGAAGCATAACCCAGGAATCAAATCTCATAAAGGGGGAAGAAAAATTGAGTCAGCTACTTAAATATATAAATCACCTTGAGGGTGAAGGCTCGACCATCGCGCCCATCTGGGAATAATACAGTCAACAACTTCTTATCCTCTCTCACTACGACACTGCAAACGAAGATGTTAACACACGCTAGAAATTTGGAGATATTCTTATGAACAATAACCACAGGAAATTTATACCTCCCCGAACTGTTCAAGTCAATGCCTCCAAGAGTCAAATTTACTTCACCTCCCTTTTGCGGTAATGCACTCTGTCAAACAGTTGAAACGATGAGCTAAAACTATAAACTATAAAATAGTTCAAGAAAAATGGGAGTTGATAAATCAAGATCCTTCTAAACTCCTAGCAAGTTGGCGCAACAGACTGATACAAATACCTAGAAATATAACTAGAATACATAGCATATGAGGAAGGGTTTTATACAAATATCCTGCAGGACTAAAAAAAATATCATTTATCAGTCCTCTACCAATATTAAGGCCCTTGAATTTGCAATATTTTTAGGTCTACGTTTTCTTTATCCTAGGTTCCAAAAGATCAACAGCAGAAGTATTATATAGATAGGAGAAAGATCACATCAAAGGATCGCAAATACTGACTGGATCATTTTTGAAGAACACCAAAGAAGTTCGGGTAAGGATAAACCAACGCTTCTTCCAAGATGTCCAACCAAGTCCTGCCAATCACAATGCCATAAAAAATTAGTAGAGAAGAAGATCGTTGTAGCTAAGGAATCAAGACTGCTACACAATGGGTCGAGTTGCAGAGTAAATAATCTTAGAAGAACGGGAAAGTCACCTTTTGATGAAATGAAGAGAGGACCACTCTTGTAAACCTGACAAAAAAATCATTGTGGAATTCAAGAAAGGATTATCGCCAGTCGCTTTACTTTGGAATTGTTATACAAATCAAACCACTCAAGCTCATATAAAGAATATGGCCAGTGTTTCAATCCTCAGCAATCAGTGAACACAGCTATAATAAGCACTAAAAAAAACCCCAATACTACACCTAATAATGTTCAGAAATACTATTTATTTCTTTAGTCTATTCTCTGCGGTAGATTTAGGAATATAGCATCAGCTTAAGCAACAGATACAAAACGAAAAAAGGATTTCCAAGAGAAGCTAAGCAATATAAATGATAATGTGCAATTAAAGGAAAAATGAACCAACATTCCCTATAAAGATAATAAGAATAGCTAGTCTCTAATTGGGGATTTGATATTCATTTACAGTTGACGTGGTTTTGACTAGATCGAGCTGATGAGTTCGAACCACAGAACTCCCACAGAACTCTCAAGAATACATATATTCACTTCTAATTCAGTTGCTCCACCTCGGTCTCGACCCAATACAAATGTTTGAGCAAAATCTAATCTTTCAGAGGAAAAAAACCGTACTTGCTCAGTGTCACATATGCCTTCAAATACGAAACAAAAAGCACTAATCTTTTATCTCATCAAAAATTCCACTTCTCCCACAAATCAAACAGATGATAAGAACCAAACAGAAATCAGAGTAGAGACTGTATCTTACCGTATTCAAAGCTCCAACTTGTGGACGCTGCATAGCCGCTAAAGAAGCCGCCATTGCAAAATTACACTAAATTTAACAACAAATGTTGCATCCAAGAAGATAAAAAAAAAAAAACCAAATTGCTTCCTCTCAAGAAACCCCCAGGAGACGAATCAAATAACACACATTAGCCCGAGTCGATTGCCTCGTTTACCACCATTTCCTCGCCAAGCCTCCTTCACTATTCAGGTACTTCGATACAGAGGGATTAAACTAAAAGAAGAAGCTATTGGTCTGACCTACTTCAGCTACAAGAGAAGATGAGTGAAGAGGGGGGAGACAGAGAAAAGGGTAATAAGGTCAGGCACAAGACGGTGTAGTTTGGTTCTATGCATCGGGCCAATCATAAATCGCCACGACAAAGACATTTCTTACCCTTTTTCCTTTTTGTCGTCTCACAGTATATACTGTACATGAGAAAATAAAACATCTAACATTTTTTATTTTCGAAAAAAAATCTCAACATAAGAAAAATAGCTAAGGAAATAACTCTAATTTCAATCATCCATCGTGAGATTTTTTAAGCACGCCACACTAGTCCTCTTAGTTTAAGCACGCGACATTAATGTAACTTTCCATAATTAACGTTAATCATAGGAAACAACAGAGAAAAAAAACATACAACATCTAATATGAAATATAATACAGTACTATTGTAAACCGATATAACTGAATACAGTATTAGTAATCGTTGAACAATCTATATGGATGGGAAAAATTCGAGAAATGATCACTTAGTTGTTATCTTAATTCATAATATCTGTGATCGAAATTTTTTTTTTTTTACAAATTTGTTTGAAGATAAATAAAATAATGTATATCTTAAATAAAAAAGAGTTAAAACTTGGAAATAGAGTTGTGATGCTGTTCTTCACTCCAATTTGGAAATAGATATGAAGTGCTATTGAAATTTTCTTCTTTTGTGCTATTTTTGTAAGTGCAAGTTGGACTTTAATTTGGCTTTTGATCTTGTATGCAAAAATTGTTCAAAAAAAATATCAAAAGCCAAATTAAAGTCCAAGTCAGCAAGTCACTTCCGTCTCTTCCGTCTCCCTCCCATTGCCTCGTTTCAATCACTCTCTCTCTCTCTCTCGTCTCTCACTCGAGAGCCTAATCTAATCCGGTAACCATGGCAACGACTTCTCGTCGCTTAACCACCGGTTTGATCCCGTCGATCAGCTCTGTCCAATCACATTCCACCAATCGACCTCAATCCATCTCCCTAATCCGTCGAAATCACCACATCGATCCTCGTCTACCGTCGACGATCGCTCCAAGCTCCAGGCGGTGGTTAATCGAAGCGGTTCCACCGGCGAGATCCTGGGATGGATCTGACGACGGAAGAGCTGAGTCGTCGGAGATTAAAAAGCCAGGCGCGTGCGGTTACGCGATCAGCGACAACGATATCGAAGGGAGTAGCGACACCGGAGAGCGTGTGAAGACGACGGAGATATTGATTTGGGCGGTGGCGACGGCGGCGTTGGGCGTCGGGAACCGCGTGATGTACAAACTTGCGCTGGTTCCACTAAAGCAATATCCCTTCTTCCTCGCGCAACTCTCCACCTTCGGGTATAAACCATCTCCGGCCTCCTTTGATTTCTCTGTTTCTTTTACTGACGTTAATTTAATTTTATCCGATTATGATGATACACTACGCTTAATCTTACAAATTAAATCTAATTACTGAATAAGGTTTACGTATTCCTAGTTTTATGCATATATTTGGAGTTAGTAATGCTAAAGAACAGTTCCTAAGTCCGGATTTTTGTGCTGGTTAGCAGATTTTTTAGTTATTTTACACAAAAGAAGTAAATAACTGTCAACATTTTATTGTGAATGGAAACTTAAAATGTAGTTACAAATATTGTATATATTCTTCGCAATTTACTTGTTTACTCCAAAAATGATCTCTGAATTGTTCTGAGGTGTGATGTTATAAGTTTTGAAATTGCAAGGGGAGATACGAATAAACTAGAAACATTGTTTTTTTTTGTTTTTTTTTTTTGTTTTTTTTTGGAACGGGTCAGAGTTGGGTTGTAGTCTATTTCATGTTGGATACTTCTTCTTGGGACATTATTGTAGGCGCATATCATTTCTCCACATGCCATAAATAGTTAAATACTGTACACATTTATCTTTTCTCTTTTCTTTTAGGTTGGGCAAAACATTAACCTTTTTATTTAATTATTCACGACTGGTCGAAGTTTTTTAGATTTTTATACTACCATCTAACTGTTTTCATAAAAAACGCTTTTACTTTATAACCATTTGAAAAATTATTATAACTACGGAATGCCTTTTCTAATGAAAAAATGTTTTTGTGTAAAAGAAACTTTCAGCACAAACCATACGCACTGATTCATTTTTCTAATATATGCAAATTCAATTCGTTGAATATGTTTCAAAGGAAATACTTGAATATGCTAGAGGGAGAAAAAAAACACAACGTTGTAAGTTGGTGGAACCGAATTATAAATTAGAAAGGGAAAAAAAGGTGGTGGAACCAAATTGAATAAAGTCCGTCCATATCATTATCCGCCCCTTAGCAATCTCTAAGTAATATTCTTATGGGGTCCTATTGGCCTTACCCTTAGAATTGATTAGTAGAATTCCTAATGGCCCTACTACTAGTAGACTAGGCCCTACTAGTAGTAAACTACTAGTGTGAGTGTAGATATACCAAACCAAGCTGGACCAAACCATTCCAAACAAACCGATTCTTAAATCTTAATAGTATGTCAACAAAATGTTTGAATTGAGGAATCTAATTATATGTTACATGTGCTTATGCTCTCGTATTCATTTTCTTTATTGCTTATATTTTGATCTGAAAACATCTTGTTCTATATATCGAACATTAATTTACAGAAAAAAAGAGAGAGAAAAAACATTCTTCTTTGGCTATTTCCTTCATGTAGGTATGTAGCTGTATATTATTCAATCTTGTATTTTCGATATCGTGCTGGAACTGTTACAGATGCGATGCTCTCGGTGCCAAAAACGCCATTTTTCATTGTTGGCGTCTTGGAGGCTTTAGCTGCAGCTGCTGGGATGGCAGCCGCAGGTAACATCACATTTATGCTAATGTTTAAGCATTATATCCTTAATCAAATTGGGTTTACGAGGGAGTGATGAGAGTATTATTATGAGAATTCAAGTTATGAAAGGAACTTTATCATCTTTTTTTTTTTTCATTTTCTCTACACAGCTAATCTTTCGGGGCCATCTACTACAGTTTTATCTCAGGTTAGTAGTTGTGAAAGTATATATATCTTTATTTGCCAGACAATGTTTTCTTGGATTTCTTGCTAACTAATAAAGGCATGATGGGTGTGGTGATATCAAGTTCCAGGATGTAGTAACATATCCCCTTTTGTTTCCATGCAGACATTTCTTGTCTGGCAAATTTTCTTCTCCATCATTTTTCTCGGGAGGAGATATAGCGTAAACCAAATACTTGGATGCACTCTTGTAGCTCTTGGTGTAATCGTCAGTGTGGCAAGGTTAGATATGCTCGGTCCGTTTGCTCAGACATTAAAGGACAGAACAGGAACCACCAATCTTGTTTTTGCATCTGCAGTGGATCAGGTGCTGCTCATTCATTGAAGGAAGCCGGAATATTTTGGATTCTTCTTATGGTCCTTTCTTTCCTGCTTCAAGGAGCAGACACAGTTTTAAAGGTCCCCGTTATTCACCAAATTGAAAGCTATTTATATAAATTATTCTCTTTAATCTCCGATTCATTTTTCTTATAGGAAGTCATCTTTATAGATAGCCAAAAACGATTGAAGGTATATCACATATTCCCAAAATCTTCATCTTGCGTTAACAGAGAATTTTTTTTTTTTTCTTTTTTTTCTGTATTTGAAATACTGAAAAATCATATGTTTTTACTATCACAGGGTGACTCACTCGATCTTTTTGTAGTGAATTCATATGGTTCAGCTTTCCAAGTAGGTACTCTTATACCTTTGTTCTCTCTGAGACCTGACTTGCATTGCAAGCTAAGTTAATCATTCTCTCTGTGGTGGGTTTTTGCCCAATTAGGCCATCTGCATCGCCTTGCTTCTCCCATTTCTTTCAAAACTTTGGGGCATACCGTTTAACCAACTCGGTAGCTACCTAAAAGATGGCGCGGTTTGCTTTCTCAACATCGGGACAATGACAATAGGATGCGATGGGGCTCCGTTGTTGCCTCTGTTGTTTGTGATAGTGAACATTGGCTATAACATTGCGCTTTTAAGACTACTCAAGATTTCATCAGCGGTGGTTTCTTGTCTCGCATCGACAGTGTCAGTGCCAATTGCAGTGTTCTTGTTCACAATGCCATTACCTTACCTTGGAGTTGCATCATCGCTTCCAAAAGGGTTCATGGGAGGAACAATGATACTTGTGTTGGGCATGCTTCTTTACAGTTGGACACCACAAGGACCTAACCCTACTCCTACTGATACAGTCATTCCTTCACCTCCTCCTACGTAGAGAGGGTTTTAATCAAGGTTTTTCATTTTATTAAGAGATTGGAGAGATTTACGAAAACCTGAAGAACATAATATACCGATCTGAATATCCTATTTTAAAATTTACATTTTTATCATAGAACAATGATTTTTTTTAAAAAAAAGTTAAATAGGCTTAAATTTCTTATCTAATGTGAGAATCCCATAAATTAGAATCATTGGTTTTACCAAAGTATCAGATATGATGAATTATAAAAAAAACTATGTGCTACATGTCAGTTTCTTATGAAATTCGTTCAATCATATGTATAAGAGAGATTAGACAAAAGTTATTAATATTAAAAAATATATATATGATTCAGTACTTGACATTTGGAAGATAAGAACAGACAGTTTTGTAGTAACAAATATTGTATCCCCAGGAAATGCTCTCAACCTTTGTCCTAGATCCTTAATGTTGTTTTTACTTTAAATACCAAATTTACAGAAAATCTTTGGTCCTAAACTCCCTCCCTATCAACAAACCCTATAATCCTTGTTTGAAACCGAAAGCCAACGAAGAGAAAAACAAAACATTCTATTCATAGTCATTCACAGCCAAAACACCTAAAATTTTCTTGCTAAAGAAGAAACAAAAGCAGAGGAAGAAAAAAAAAACAGGAGAAGAAAAACACACACACAAAGAAAAAGAAAAAAAAAAATTCTATTTCTCTTCCTCCTTGAGCTTGTACCTTCTTCCTCTCCCCACCCTTTAATGCAACAATGGGAAATTGTTGCTCTCACGGACGGGACTCAGCCGGAGATGGACCAAACCATCAAAATGTAGCAACCGCTTCAAACACCGGCCATCCGGCTGGTCCAACTGCTGAACCTTCTGTAGCACAATCCAAACACGCGCCTCCTTCTCCTCCTCCTGCAACAAAACAAGGTCCTATAGGGCCTGTCTTAGGTCGACCCATGGAAGATGTCAAAGCTTCATATTCTCTAGGGAAAGAGCTTGGGAGAGGCCAGTTTGGAGTCACGCACCTCTGCACGCAGAAGGCTACAGGTCAGCAATTTGCTTGCAAGACCATTGCCAAGAGGAAGCTTGTGAACAAAGAAGACATTGAGGATGTAAGAAGGGAAGTGCAGATAATGCATCACCTGACTGGTCAGCCAAACATTGTGGAGCTTAAAGGAGCTTATGAGGATAAGCATTCTGTGCATTTGGTCATGGAGCTTTGCGCAGGTGGAGAGTTGTTCGATAGGATTATAGCTAAAGGGCATTACTCGGAGAGAGCAGCTGCTTCTTTGCTAAGAACGATTGTTCAGATTGTGCATACTTGTCATTCCATGGGTGTTATTCACAGGGATTTGAAGCCTGAGAACTTTCTGTTGCTCAACAAAGATGAGAATTCTCCTCTCAAAGCCACCGACTTTGGGCTGTCGGTTTTCTATAAGCCAGGTTCCTGCAATCTAGAATCAGCATCATTGCAAAAACCTACAAATCAAATTAAACGAATAAAACCATTGATGGATATTTTGTTTCCTGTGTGGTACAGGAGAGGTGTTCAAGGATATTGTGGGTAGTGCTTATTACATCGCACCAGAGGTTTTGAAAAGGAAGTATGGACCAGAAGCCGATATTTGGAGTATTGGTGTCATGTTGTATATCCTCCTATGTGGTGTCCCACCCTTCTGGGCAGGTAAAATAATTTTTTCTTTGTCTACTAAAAACAAGAGATATAAAACACATCTAGAGATGTTTTTTCTTTTGTATTCATGTGTTGTTGTGTTTACCTGATCGTAGAATCGGAGAATGGAATATTCAACGCCATCCTAAGGGGACACGTCGATTTCTCGAGTGATCCATGGCCAGCCATCTCGCCTCAGGCGAAGGATCTTGTTAAGAAGATGCTCAACTCTGATCCCAAGCAAAGACTAACTGCTGCTCAAGTTCTCAGTAAGCATCTCTCTACAAACACACCAATAAATCCAAAAAGCATAACAATCATTCCATGCCAATTAATGCTCTCTCTCTCTCTCTTCTTTGTAAAGACCATCCGTGGATCAAGGAGGATGGAGAAGCACCAGATGTTCCTCTTGACAATGCGGTGATGTCCAGGCTCAAGCAATTCAAAGCAATGAACAATTTCAAGAAAGTTGCATTACGGGTAAAAATCATATATTCTTAACACAATAGAATATACGAGTGGTATATGGCTCGAAGTCTAGTATCCTAACCTCAAAACCTGAAACCCTTGAGCAGGTGATAGCAGGTTGCTTATCAGAGGAAGAGATCATGGGATTGAAGGAGATGTTTAAAGGTATGGACACTGATAGCAGTGGAACAATTACACTCGAGGAGCTAAGACAGGGGCTTGCTAAGCAAGGTACACGGTTGTCAGAATACGAAGTCCAGCAGTTAATGGAAGCTGTAAGTCCTTTTGTGTGGTAACAAGAGTTTTAGCTTTCGTCAAATGACGAGCAACAGGTAAGGAGACTCACCACTGATTTTCTGTTATCTTGGTATTCCACAGGCTGATGCTGACGGTAATGGAACGATAGACTATGGTGAGTTTATCGCAGCCACAATGCATATTAACAGACTTGACAGAGAAGAACATCTCTACTCAGCCTTCCAACACTTTGACAAAGACAACAGTGGGTAAGCACTTAACCGTTTGTTATAGTATTGACTTTAACCACCAATAACAGAGAGAAGCAATGGCACTTGTTACTAAACGAAAACATCATCTCACATAATGCTTTGTGATTCCAGATATATCACTATGGAAGAGCTGGAGCAAGCCCTCCGGGAGTTTGGCATGAACGATGGCAGAGACATCAAAGAGATCATTTCTGAGGTTGATGGAGACAATGTAAGAAACAACAGTCCTTTAAAATGTAACAAGCAGCTGACAAATCTCATTATCACAAACCAAAATTTCTAATGATAAAAACATCATTTGCAGGATGGTCGGATAAACTATGAAGAATTTGTGGCAATGATGAGAAAAGGAAACCCGGATCCTATCCCAAAGAAACGGCGTGACCTTTCGTTTAAATGAACAATTGTTGAGGTAGAGGAAGAGAGAAGATAGAAAGAGAGCAGAACAAGAGTCGAGAAACTCATCTTCCTTTTCACTACGAAAGATAAGGCATCAAGAGAGAAATATTATTCCAAGTATGCTCGGATTGCTAATGATTGAACTGGAGGAGATCGTTTAAGGGAGGAGAAGGCTCAACAAGGGGAAAACAAAAAAAAAATACATTAAGTGGGGATTTGGGGATGTGTTTGATTTATGTACATTTTATTTTCTAGTTTGTCTACTACTGCTTCAAGTGCCATGGGTTTCTCAATGTACTTATAACTCTTTTTCAATTCTCTTTTACGTTTTAGTGAATATTTGGTCTTACTTCCTCGCAAAGCACTCGACACCAATCATGAAAAGATACAAAGCTAAACAGAAGATCAACAATGGCAAAGCCTGTGTAAACCCAAAACCAAATTGACTTAGACCACATTTAAAAACCGAACCTGGAATAGTTGTCGCAAATTATCCATGAGAAACTGTAGTGTTTGCGGTCAAAATCTAAGCAAATTGATAAGACTTCAAACAGGGTTGTTTATCAAACATCGACAACTGCATCAAAGCACAAAATTTCGTAACAGAAATAGCTAATTGGAGTTAAAAAGAGATACTTTTTCATTGCTTGGTCGATATAACGGATAAAGGAGCCAAACAATACAAGGATTAAACCCCAATTAAAAACCCTAAATCGCAAGACGACCATCGAATCGAGGAGGACACAGGTTACTTATCTTTGGTAGAGACACCATACTTCTCCTGAAGCTTGGCAATGTCTTCTTCATTCTTCTTCTGGTCGAACTTCTTGCTCATCTTGGCGTGCTGGTAGTAGAGCACGATGAGGTAGCGATTGGCGACGTTGAAGCCGGAGAGATGGTCGACGGCGTTCTTGGCATCGTAGATATCCTCGTAAACAACGAAGGCCGTGCCTTTGGTGTCCTTGTTGCAGCCGATCCGAATCTGGCGAATCGCACCGTACTTGCCGAAGATATCGTACATCTCCTCGCTCGTTATGTTAAACGGAAGGTTCCGAACGTAGAGCACGCGATTAACCTCCGGCGGGAGCCTGGTGTTTTGCTTGCGAAGACTCATTGTCGTCATAGCTTCTTTATCTCCTTCTCCTCCTTTAGCCCGGAGATTTTCTTCTTCTTATACCGTCGCAGAGAAAAACCTTCGTTCTATTGGAAAAGAAAATTTCTAGTCCGATTGCGATCCTATATATGTTGGGTGGAAGACGAAAGGGTAAAATTGTCTTTGCTCATGCAGGGACGGTGATCTATGGACGGTGTTATGTAAACCAGTTAAACCAGACTAACATACTAAACCGATATCTGTGTCGGGTTTGATAGCAACATTTGTAGTGTAATTTTCATTACTGATTTTAATTTTGTTTTTAAGAAAGAACCTAATCCAAAAAGGCAATAACACACCATTTAGTCGGTCTGACAAATTATTATGGATCGCATTACTGTTTCATGCCTTATATTGAGAAGCTTCACATTGCTCAGCTTTTCTTTTAATAAGATGAATTGAGATAGAGAACAGAGACCAAAATTAACTAAATATAAAATTTTACATACGTACTATTACAGTTTCAATGTATATAGATTACACGCACATTACTCATTAATCGTTCTGTCGTTTTTTTTTAAATAGGAAATCATGTTATTTACAGAATATTTTTATAGAATCAAAGGGAAATGATGTATACGCAGATAGCTGCAACTTATGAAGCTTCAGATCTTGACACGCTTAACTGGAGCTCGAAGAGAAGATAGATAGTTAGCATCTGATTTCTCAATCCCATCGAAAAGGTAACTGAAAGGAGGCATCTCTATATACTTGCCACTTCCTTGCACAACTTTAAGCTCCTCGTTTTCCCATACGATTCGTCCTCCCGCTATTGTCACTTCAACTTTTCCCTGAGATTTAAGGAATCAAGTCCCCATGAACAAAAATGTTTGTCAATTGGACCTTTTATGCATATATATCAGTCGAGAGAGGCTTTGTAAAGATGCATATATACCTTTACTCTTCTACCCTCGTAGACGTTTGTGTCGGATCTTGAATGATGAGACTTTGAGCTAATCTCGTAGCTCGAGTTTGGATTCAATATAATGATGTCTGCATCCGAGCCAGGAAGGATAGCTCCTTTCCGTGGATATATGTTGAATATTCTAGCACTGACAACAATTCATTTCAAATGCAGACATGATTTACTCCTTTACTACTTACAGATATTGGAAAGAAAAGCATATCTCAACATTAAAAAGAAGGGATCAATGAAAAGAGTATATATACCACTCGGTGCTGGTTATTCTAACAAAATCAGTAGAAGAGATTTGGCCAGACCCCTGGATTATGATAACAGAAAACGATTAGAACTTCCTGTACTGTACGGAAATAAGATTTTACCCCACACGTACTTAAAAGAAGATTTTAGTCCACAAGGACTTACCACCATCGTGTCCCATATCAGGTGCATCCGTTCTTCAAGGCCTGAACATGGACCAAGTTCAAAGTATTTACAAATTACCATAGATTGGTAAAGAAGCAGAGACAATGAGCACAGAGAGCAAGAAACCAGTCAACCCAGCTGTTATACCATTAACACCATTAGGTATTTTGCGGAAATCATCAACCCCGAGAGCTTTTTGTGTAGAATTGAAAGTGCAGTGATCAGTTCCCACAAGCTACAGAGATAATACCAATAAAAGAGAGAAAATATGTTCAAAAAAGTGTATGCTGTAGGTCATGTTTCTCTACTTTAGGCATAGCGAGGAAAGAAACCTGAAGGATTCCTGTCGAAAGGGCATCTTGTAGGGCTTTCCCATGTCCTACTGGTCTTATAGGTGGACTCATGACATACCTAAAATATTGAGAAAAACAAAACTTTGAATGACAACCTGAAGGAATAAATGGGAATCATTTGAACAACAGACTTGATAAGATTTCTTACTTTGATGCAATTGTAAAGTCAGGATCCCAAAGCCAATGATCATCGAGGATTAACCCAGACACAACAGGCTCTCCAATAACCTTCTGCCCTGAGATACATAAAAAAAACGTTTTTTTTATATTGAGGTAAACACTACATAATCAATTTGAAAGAGACTTCAGAAACAACCCATACTTTATTACACTACTGATTGTTAGGATCAAAGATTTATAAACACTTCGTCCTACATGAGTTGTAACAGAAAACCTGATTTTCGAGCTTTAGCAATCTCATCCATTGCGTCGACACTCATCACATGAACAACATAGAGAGGCGTGTTAACAAAACGAGCCAAACGAATAGCCCGAGCAGTTGCTTCTCCCTCAAGCTGCCAATGTTAAACAAGGGTCTTGATTTTAGCTTGAATATATACAAGAGAGGAGAAAAATTTATGAGGGCAGTACAACAAATTAGAAAAATACTCGGCTCAATTACCACAGGTGGCCTTGAAAGAGCATGGCCCTCTGGACCTGTAATGCCAAGGTCAATCATTCTTTTCTGTCCTTCAAACACTGCATCTCCATTTTCAGCATGTACCATCGCCAAGGCACCGAGGGATTTACATCTTTTAAGGCCTTCCAGGAGAAGGTCATCAGTGACCATAAGAGATCCTTTGTATGCTAGGAAGAATTTGAAAGAGTTGATACCTGTAAATTTAGAGATACATGGACTTTACTTTCATCATAGCATGGAAAATTAAGGGATAAAAACACGGCACCAATGTGTCACGAGACATTTACCCTTTTCCTTGACCAATTTCTCCATGTCCTTGGAAACACCTTCATCCCACTTTGTGATTGCCACATGAAAGCCATAATCCATGCAAGAGTTTCTGGACTTGTTTTCATAGGCTTCAAAACCAGCCACCAGATTCCCATTAACGGGTATAACAAAATCTATATGCATAGTTGTTCCACCAGCTAATGCTGCTGCCTGACCACTGAAGAAATCATCAATAGTCTCGGTACCCATAAATTCCATGGCGAGGTGAGTGTGGGGGTCAATGCCTCCTGTTTGCATTGAAGAATATCTGAGAGAGGAAGAAGGAAGGCTATACCCATTTTTGAAGAATATCCCTCCATCTATAGAGCATCTCTGAGAGGAACAGGCACAGGAATCTCACCAAAGCTATCGTCCAAACCAACAAGCGTAGTAATATATGAATTCTCCCGGGGAAATAACAAAATTCTGGAAAATGTTTGCTGACATGTCAAGTTTATCAGATAATGTCCAAGTCTGCAGGTGGGAACCCTGACATGAGTCCTTACGAGTTGGATGCAGCGGTGGTGGCAAGATCTTTTCTAGCGATCCAGAATTGTTATATCCCAGGGAGAATTCATACGATAGCTATGGGGAGATTCCAGTGATTATGCTCTCAGAGATGCTTTTCAGCTGGAAGGAAGGAAAACCTTCAAATGGGTTATGAAGCAGAAAGATATATGTGGAATGCAAACTTCCTAGCTTATATAACAGAAATATTTTGGAATGGTGGTGGAACCTATCAAGGCATTCACTACGATATATGCAAGAAAGAAAAAGCAATAAAATATGAATGTATCAACTAGTATGAATTGATTAACCTGGCATGACAAACTTTCCAGTAGCATCGAGTACAGTGACTTCATCCCCAACCTGAGAAAAAACAGAACCAAAAAAGAATTCAGACTAGCAAAAATGAAGTATACAATACAAGAAGTTAGTTAATATATAATATCACCTTAATGTTTGGCTGCATCGAGACAATAATTCCATCTTCCACATAGACATCAGCAACTTGTTGATGGTGTGCATTCACAACTGTACCTCCTTTGATCAAAATCCTTGTCGATGAAGAAGATGGAACCTTACAAGATCCCACACCATACTCTCTCCCTGCACTACAAAACTGCTAGAACAAAACACATTAAAAAAAAAAACATCAGAATCTCCTAAAATCATCTGTTTCCACTTAAATTTTCATGAAATTTAATGTATTGGATTAGCAAATAACTTAAACTATCTGTTACTTGCTTAAACATTCTGCTTAAGATTTAAAGCTTTCAGAGCTATGCTAGTAACAAACCCAACTCGATACGATGAACAAATCATAAGAGCAAAAGATCAAACAACGAGACAGAATCAGAAAGAAGCTGCTAGCTGATCATTTCAAGGGCGGGCGCGAAGAAGAAACAACATCGAGTTATGGTCAAACACAAACCTGGGTAGCCGAATCTGAGACGGAAGGCGACGGGAACAGAAGAAATAGAGAGAGGATGAAGAAGATTGCATCCATAGGTCTCATTGCCATTGATGAAGAAGAAGCTTTGACTAAAGATCTCCCTCCACCTGTGTTGTTATATAATCCACCTCCCTTTAATTATTCTGAATATTATTTATTTCTTTCTCTTATTGGCCGATTCCTTTCTCTTATTGGCCGATCCAATTTTCGTCAACGCAAAAACAAATCAATGAGAGTAACCAAACGGTCGAACCGCAATCCGGGGAAATTTCCGGTATGATCCCTATTTAGAAAACAATCTCCGATTTTTCTTTACAAAACCGGTTGAACCGGGGTTCTTTCTTTGTTTCGTCCCTTTCGGTTTCGCAAAAGTCCAGCAAGGGCGGCCGGTTTGCTGTTTCCCGCAAAACTCTGGCTAAGAAAGAAGGTGTTGTTGTTAGTGAAAGGTTAAAAGTTTTTGTTCGATCTTCAGTCTCCAAATCTCGACTTCTCTTCTCGCTCCAAGCTCTGATGAGCTCTACGTCTACTTCCTCCCAGGTAACCAGTTTTCTCTCATTTCAATCATCTCTATCTAACTGTGAGACGAATTGATTTTATCCGATTTTATAGTTCAGGTTTTAATATTTTGTTAGAGGATTTATTTCTAGCTCAGGTCTCGTCTTTGCTTGGTCTCGTTTATTGTTATCTAAACTCGAGCTATGGAGGTTAGAAAAAATGTGCTTCTTGATCAGTCTCATACGGGTTTGAATTCCAGGAGTGAGATTACTTCAATCATATTACTTTGCATTTCTCCTCATCATAGATGGCCTATTCCAGGCTTATGCTTCTAGTTGTAGCTGATCATCTAGCTTATAGCTCTTAGCTTCTCCATTATAGATGGGTTGCTCAAGAGTCATTGATACGCCTGGGGATTTAATCCATTGAAGTAAATTAAGCTCTTGCATCGATCTAACTTAAGACTTTTATGGTGGTTCTTCCATTTGTGCAAAGTTACTGAATCTGCTGTGGATAAATTTATGGCAGATGGGTCAGCTTGTAGCTGATAAGCATGTACGTTACATTCTGATGGCAGAAAAGGTACTAGAAACTATATCACCTCTTTTCTTAGTCTCCCTGTTTATGTCACTATGATGACAACTTATTCTCGCTGTTTATGTCACTATGATTATACCTTATGTTCTCGTGTTCAATTGCTTCCGAATTATATTTTGATAGAAGAAAGAGAGTTTTGAGTCTGTGGTGATGGATCATCTAAGAATGAATGGTGCATACTGGGGACTGACTACTCTGGACTTACTCGAGAAGCTGGGCACTGTTTCCGAAGATGAAGTGGTATCATGGGTCATGACGTGCCAGCATGAATCTGGTGTGTACTGAGTTTTTTATTTCTCTACCATATGAATTCCAGAGATCAGCTATTTTTTACTTGCCAATAGAATAATGAATAGAGGCATGGGTCGGTACTAGGCAGTGAAAGCGGGTGCCTTGGACAATCATTAGAAAACAATCATTGTCAGTAAACAGAACTATGGGGACCTTTAAAGTTTATATAGGGTTTCGCATTTTCATCCTTAATCATAAGATATAGCTGCTGTTGAAGTTGATAACAAGTGATTCTTTTCTGAGCAGGTGGTTTTGCCGGTAATACTGGACATGATCCACATATTTTATATACACTCAGTGCTGTACAAATCTTGGCCCTCTTTGACAAACTAAACATTCTTGACGTTGGAAAAGTATCAAGTTGTATCCTTTTTCACTTAGTTTCTTGTCAATGTCACTTACTCTTTCTTGTTACCAATAGTCATGGTGAACTTCCATATTGTTGATTGATCAACGATAAAAGCAAATAAAAGCAACCAAATTGCTTATGATAGATATTATTATGGTTTCCTTAATACAAATTTAGATGTTGCTGGGTTGCAGAATGAAGATGGATCCTTCTCCGGAGATATATGGGGAGAAATAGATACGAGGTATTTTTCTTGGTCATGTATCTTCTGTTGGTTACTTTCCTATGTTGAATCTTAATTGCAAGCTGTTTATGTAGGTTTTCGTATATAGCTATACGCTGTCTCTCAATATTAAAATGTCTTAATTGCAAGCTGTTTATGTAGGTTTTCGTATATAGCTATATGCTGTCTGAATCTTAATTGCAAGCTGTTTATGTAGGTTTTCGTATATAGCTATATGCTGTCTCTCAATATTTAAATGTCTTGACAAAATAAACGTGGAGAAGGCCGTTGATTACATTGTAAGCTGCAAAAACCTGGATGGTGGTTTTGGGTGCACACCTGGAGCGGAGTCCCATGCAGGACAGAGTATGTTATGCTATTTGAGTTTTTTTTTTTTTTTGTGTGTGTCATCTTCCCGCTGGATACTTGCAGTTAGTGTTCTATATGACTTTACTGAAATAAGAAGGCAGATCCCATCACTGCCATCAAACTATTCCAAAGACTGGAATACTCAGCTATGTTTTGTTTCTGTAGTTGAGGTGTTATTGCTACACCCTTGTGTAGATAGGATTGGACAGTTTCATGGTAACGTCATATGGTAAAAGATGGTTATTCTTTATTGTTTCAGTTTTCTGTTGCGTGGGGGCTCTTGCTATAACAGGGAATCTCCATCATGTTGATAAGGACTTACTTGGCTGGTGGCTATGTGAAAGACAAGTCAAGTCTGGGGGTTTAAATGGACGACCCGAGAAACTCCCTGATGTAGGCTTTGAGCTTCTCCAGTGAGAAACCTTTGTATACTTTCCCTAGATCTTACGCACTTTTATCTTATTGTTCTTATTACCAGGTTTGCTATTCTTGGTGGGTCTTATCGAGCCTAATCATGATAGATAGAGTTCACTGGATCGACAAAGCGAAGCTTGTCAAGTTCATCTTAGACTGTCAGGTTTGTCTCCAACACGTCAGGAAAAGTTGTACCGTTGCTAATTGCTTAAAAGCTCTCTCATCTTTCATAATTTTTGATTAGGATATGGATAACGGAGGCATCTCAGACAGACCTGATGATGCTGTTGATATCTTCCACACCTACTTTGGAGTTGCGGGTAACTTAGATTTGTCTCTAGTCTCTTTAAGCTCATCTTGTTTATGTGAAGCCAAAGTGGTCTCATTTCATCAAATTGGTTCAGGGCTTTCGCTCCTTGAGTATCCTGGAATCAAAGCAATCGATCCAGCCTACGCTTTGCCTGTTGATGTCATTAACCGGATTATCTTCACCAAATGATTGTTTTGGGTATGATCTTAGTGGTCTGATGATATGGCAATACGGCTCTCTTTGATTTAATCATTGGTTCGTTTACTTGGGCGATTTTAGAAGTTGTGTATGCTCAGCGAGGAGATGGCAATATTGGTGGATTCAAGTGATTACTAATGGAAGTGTAATGATTACATACAATTCTTGGTCCATTTTGCAAAACTCAACCAATAGTCTCTTTGCTGTATAAAAATTGCAGGGAGAATCTTGAGGTCTCTAATGTAGTGCAAATGAAGGGTGTTGCTACGTCATTTACATTACTGTTTTTATCTCCACTTTCATTGTGCATTACTTCTTCAAATTTGTGTGGCATTGTGTTTAGGAGTTTTTAATACAATGAATAAGACATAATAAAATATAGAGATAATTTCATTTCGATAACATTCAATAAAAAGGTTATAGTTGTCAAAAAAAAAAAACTTTCGATTGCCTAATCGAATACATCAAAGCTAATGCAGATTAAACGAATTACTGTATATCGCATCTGTCAAAAAATAAGTGAAAATCCAGATTTTGCAATTATTTCCTTTTTTTCCCTTGAGAAAAAGAATTGGACGACAAAAAAAAAAGAAAAAAAAAATAGTGGTTTTCCTAAACCCTAGTACGCCATTGGAGAGGAGGTTTAGTGCAGTTCAACTTTTTTTTTTTTTGGCCAAGTTTTTGTTTCGAGCCGACGACACTTCGATGGAGGCGTTAGCGGGAATGGAAGCAGACATCGAATCGTATTTCAAAGACCAGGATCAGCACAGACCATCATCGGACGGCTGCAAACAGGTCCCCTGGCTGAGCTGGGAAGAGTGGGACTCCGTCAGAGAATCTCTCTTCTCTTCTTCTCCTGATAAAACCGCTTCTGCATTGGAAAGGGTAGTTAATACTCTTTCCTCTTCAATTCAATTCTTAAGAGCGATTTCTTCCATGAAAACCATTAAACTGTATAAGTTAGTTGAATCAAGCTTACTGCTTTAGGCCAACGAGCTCAATGGAAGTTCAGATTCCTTTATTATGTATAAAGGTACAAATTTTTTAATCAAAAAGATCTCTTTGTGGATCTCAGGTTGCAACATGGCGAAGTAGAGGTTCCCTTCCGGAGCCTGTGGATGTTACTTGTTCGCTTATCGAAATTCAACTCAAAGATGGCTTTATTCCGTTAGTTTCTTTGTCATCTAAACTTTCTCATAACTTCTTTTGGATGTTTAATGTTTCTGTGTTCTCATTTTCTTAGTTTTTTTTCTTTGTTCTTGTGATTAACAAAAGGAGAGAGAAACAACCATCAGATGCATTATATTCAGAGCATCTGCTGCAAATGCTATACTGTATGGGAATACTCAGGTGACTATGCCACTTCTTGATATATTTTGCTTGGTTTAGTGATTCCACAATATTTCATATGGTTTGACTCCCTGCACTTGCTGACTCATGTCTTAATGTATGAAGGCTTGTGAACTGTGTCATAGAAAAGACAAGGAGGAGAGCAGAAGTTTCAATTGCGGATGCTGCTAAAGCAATTGGTATCCCACGTAAATTAATCGATCTTCGACATGGTAAGAATATTTGGGTGCTTTTTCCTGAATGTGTGCAGTAAAACTTTCAATGCTGCTTTATGTTTCTGATTTGATTTAATTGTTCTGATTGTAGAGGGTTCTCACCGTGAGCTCCCTGCACTCTCCGTGCTTCGGGATGCTTCAGATGAGGTACATTTTTTCCTTCATAATTCTGTTTTGGCGTTTTAGATTTCCTTATTTTAAGTATCATAGCCTCATAGGACATGAAGGTCTGCTGTCCTGTCAATCAAATACGTTTGCTCTGAAGATCTCCTTGAAGAATCCGAAGAAGTTTTTTTTAAAAGATGTTTAGCGTGGTGTAGTTTTTGGACAGTACAGAAGATCTTAATTTGCGTGCATACATTTGTTGCTCATTGTAGGCACTTGAATGGTTGAAATCTTATTATTGGGAGCCTCAGAAGTACCAAATTCCCTTGAAGAGAGATGGAACGGCTAGCATCAGAAGAGAAGTCAAATCCAAACTCCGGAAACTTGCTTTCTGCTTCCAGCTTAAGAAGAATCCTCAATTTGACTCCCCTTTGGTCAAAGAAAAATGTAAGACGAATTCTTTTATTTCTAGGACCTGTGTTGGGGGCTAGTAATGCCAAGCAAAAGACGGAATAGACTCATCTATATCTCCCTTCTTAAACCTCTATGAAGTTTACAAGATAAAGACATAATTTAGACGATACTTCGGTTTTGGTTGCCGCTAGATATGTTTGCAGCCTTAGAGCTGAAAATATTTTTAATTTCATCCATGTGTTACACATTCTATTCTTTGTGGTCATATGGGTGCGTATTTTTGTGATTTCAGGTTCTAGTAAAAGGATAAGGAAGATTGTAAACAGCCTTGTTGAGTTATACTCTTCTTTCTCCGCAGAAATTTCATCTGTGCTGCTTGAATTCTTACTCAAGGCCTTGGATTCTTCAAAGTCGGCAGAACTTCAGTCTGGCCAAGATATTAGGGTCTTTCTAGATGAATGGAAACCTGTAATCCTGGAGTTCTCAAATAGAGAACCCGAGTTACTTTTGACTCTACTCAAGGCAGTTCTTGATATGATCCAAAATAATGAACGGAGAAGATATGAAACTGGTAACTATTGGTTTGTCCTAGATGCTTTTACTCCGAGGAGTCTCAACGTAAACTCCAGATTGTTCCCAGATCGTTTTTAACTTCTATGAATTGCTTATTGTTTTTCAGATGTGCATCTTACAGAAAAGTCAGCGGAAGAGGTTTCTCAAGCTGAGCAGGTCCCTTTCCTGTTTGCATGGCTGGTGGGTCTTATCAGTGGGTCGAAGCATTTTCAGAGGAACAGTTCTCTAGAAGTAAAATCTCCAAGCATGTTCCTTATGGAACTTATACGTAAATGTCTGCTACTGGGAGCCTTAGGATACGAGCTGGTTTTGAAATCTGCTTTCGTACTTGCGGAGATTGTGGGAGGGCGTGTCTTGAAAGATAAGCTTATAAAACTCCCTCTCCTGGATAAAAGCGCTGCAGTTATACCATTGAAACAGAGTTCTACTCTTGTAACAACTCCTACGACGCTCCTTGAACAAGAGAAGAAAATCGGTAGTGCGGGAAAGAGACTCGAGTTTGTCAAACTTCAAGTCTCAAAGAAGAGAGGAAATAACACAGACAAAGCCAATAGCAGATGGAGGAAGGCGAAAACATGGAGCCCTTGTCCAATTGGTATGTTGCCTCGGATCATTGGATCTTCTGGACGTTTACCTATTCTGGACTTTCAGAGTGCTCATACCATCTCAAAACAAACACAAAGGAACGACAATGTCAAAAGAGGAGCCGAGTGCAATAGTCAGCAATTCGAGAACTCGACATGTAAGAGAGCAAAGAAGAGTCGAGAAGATCCTGAATCAAACGATATGACATTGGCCACACATGAGGAAGAAGCTGAGATGGATATAGAACATGCATATGAGGAAACTGAAAGTGAAGCAGAAGGGAATCTGATGTTGAAGGATGAAGAGGAAATCAGAGGCTGCCTTATGATAGGTGGTGAATGGAGAAGAGTCAAAGATGGAGAGCTATTGGGGATGGCTTCTAATGTTAAACTTTATGTTTAAGTTTTTTTTTTGGAAATGCTCACGAACTAGTACTAAGAATATGGATGATATTGTAGTATAACATTCTTTTTGATATTTGATCAGCTTTTACAAGTAAAACATATGACACAAGATATTTGATCAACTTTTGCAAGTATAACATGACTTAATGTCAACTTTCTCATACAGATAGACATTCGGACAAGTACACAAAGTAATGTAATAAGTGGATTAAACAATTCCTTTTTCAACTACATTAATTAGATAACAAATTATTTTACATGAATAAAACACTGAGTAGTGTTGTTGTTATAGACAGAAGACTGGAAGAGATGAAATAAAACACCCGAAGACCAAAATGTTACAAAGCTGCCACCAAATCAATTATGATACGAATTCTGCTTCTTCACAAATTTCCCTTTCTTCTCAAAGGATGAATTCACCATTTTCGGCTTTTAACCTACAGAGACAAATATTACAGAAGGAAGAAGTAAATCCTCTTTATTCAAACCAACACAAGGGGCAACAGATATGTAAGCAATCTGATTTGTAGTGTTAAGTGACAGTATTCTCTATTCCATTCGAAAAACATTCTATCCATCATGATATGTTCTCTCAACCGGTTACCCAATTTCTATAAGATGTGTATCAAGTGCAACTTTCTTAAGAACCAGAAACGAATCCAATACCAATATAGAAGTCACACATTTGGGACACGTGCAATGTTCCCTTGCAAATGTTGCGCTATTTGGATTTCAGTAACTTAAAGAACACACAAGAACCTTCGGGATGACCATACACATAAAAAAGGATTATGGGTTCAACTGCCCTAAAGTACAGTATCTGTATTATGACAGATGTATGTTCTATGAAGGATCCCAGAATACCAAAGTGAGTTTGACTAAAATGAAACGATGGATGACCAAGAACAACAAGCCAAATGAACAAAAGAGACAGGGCAGTACACAGATGCTTACCTAATAAGTTGTCTACACTGTGTTGAAAAGTGCTTCTAAACCACTCCATGACACCTACTCGAGTGCAGAATACAAAATTGGGAATTTCTACACTTTAGCCAGCAACCCTTATTGCACCCATCTCATCAAGCTTTGAGCTCTTATGCTGCATCGAGTTAAATCGAGAGCAGAATCAATACAATTTACAAAAGACATATTACGAGTTCTATAAAACTTTTGTGCAAACAATTTATGGAGAAAATTTCCAAGTTGAGTACAAGTCAAATTTGAGCCCTACTGCATTACCATTACCTTGTTTTTCTTGTGCCTCTGGACGTCATTAAGATCTTCATCTCCATCGTGTTTTCTTTTCTGAAATATTAGTGACAATGCTCCTTGTGATTTCCATAGGATAGAAAAACCAAACAATATACAATGAAACTACTATAGATAATCTGCTAAATTGTATGCCAAATCAATACTCAAGAAAGCAGTCCAACTCCAAAGCGACATTTCGACAAATACAAAAACTTTCAATAAAACAATTCTTCTTTGGCAAGACAGACACCTGCAACAAGCAGACATGTCTTACCTTATCATGATGTCTCTTAGAGTGATCGCCCGAATCGTGGTGGCCATTTTTGTCCTTCTTTCTGTCCCGGTCCTTGTCTTTATCTTTATCTTTGCTTCTATCTTTATGCTTGTGCTTGTGCTTCTTATGCTCTCTATCTTTTTCCTTATCCCTGTCCTTGTGTTTTTTATGTTTCCTGTCTTTATCTTTTGACTCACTTTTTGACTTTGATGCAATCGTAGGAGCTCCCTTCTCTGCCTGAAAGAAAAAAACAGTGTGTGTTATGTTCTAGTAACTAGTACAATCATATTCAAAGGATACCCAGATGTAATTCACCTTATCAGAGGTTTATTCTCAATTAACCAAAAAATTGGATGTTAGAGGAAATAGGACATTCATTATTGAACCCAATTTTTCTAGTTCAATGCAATGCCAAATATATTGATACTGATATGGAAAACGTGTCATATCTTCAAGTCCAAATTCAAAACAACCAAGAGAGAGCAGATTCTTACTAGAGGCAATTCAACAGGAGTCGTATCATTTAGTTGGAAAGCCTCCTTAAGCTCATCTATATCAAAAGGTTGGATGCGGGTGTTAGTCTCCCGGCTCTGTAACGTGTTCTGAATAAGCTGATCTAATTGCATTCCTTCCCCTTTTCTGATCTCGGTGTCCCCAACCACATTATGAAGATAATGGGCATCTGATAGTGATGCGGGAAGTGATTTTTTGCAAAAGAATTCATGGTGTTGAAGTAGTTTGTATTGAGATATAAGATCCACAGCACCACACAACTCTCTGGGACCTGCACTTATAATAAACAGCAGCGGATTGACCTCAAGGTTCCCAAACGGAAAAAGAAAGGAAAATGAGCCACATAATAGAAGAAGCTCCAAAATTTGAAACCAATTTACCTCCGAATTTGGTACGTTCAGGTTCCATCTTCTTTATCTCAATCTAAATTTCTTTTGCATGATCACTGCAATACCATTCCTACAAAAGGAGAATTCAAAGAAGCACTGAGTGCCAAGGAAAGAATACTAATACACGAAAACATTTGCAAATACAGAATCGTTACTGCCAAAAGTAACAATTTTTAGCCCAAACAATAGAAAAACCACGATAAGAGTAACTAATCGCCAGCTTATAATCCATGATGACTGAAACTATTGGAGTCTCAACATAAAGCTAAAAAAAAATATTTGATTTAGCATAAAAATTTCATTCAAACTCAAAAATTCTCAAAATTCTCTTGAAACCCTCAAACATTTAAGCTCGAGATAATGGAAATATTGTTAAAAGTTGGTGTTAGTAAAACCATACAGAAAGTCCATGAATGTTTGATCTAGTCAAAAAGAAAGTTTCTTCATTTGCGCTATGTGGAAAATCAATGAAAAATAATCAGACAGCGAAGAATTCACTGAAAAATGAGGCATTTAGAGTCGATAAAAGCTTCACAGGAAATCCGAAACACGAAGAAGAAGCGATGGTTGGAATTCGATAACAAAACAAGCCAGAGATAACAAAGCACAAAATCGCAGATTCGATTGGTACGAGAAAGGATCGAAGCAAAGAGAAACAAGTAACATACACGTTTGAGAAACCAGATCTCGTTGAGAAATCTAGCTGCGGCCTGTATTCAATTTCAGCCCTCTGGCGCCCAAACAAATCCAAAGCAGCGGAAACGAGAGAAAGAGGTTGTTCTTAGGGTATCCAATTTCCCGCGCAAATTTGATTAAGCAGAGTGATGGAGAAGGGGACAGAGATCGAGGAAGGTTCGAGACGAGAGGGAGAGAGCGAAAACGGAGTCTACTTAGGGTTTCAGATTTTCTGTTTCTTAACCAATCGGGTACCAAAAAAATTCTCCTCTTTTTATTTTTGTCTGTTGGCTTCTCAATATTTCGGCAATTTCTTAATTTTTATGCGTGCCGCGTGGGCTTCACGCGCACTGGTCACGGCCCAAATACACAGAATATAATAAATTGTCACTCGTTAAACCTCTCAATAATCTAATTACCTAAGGCGACAATTGATAGTCAAACCATTCTTCCAACACCTTTATAGTTAATCGAATGTAAAATTTTAGTATCAAATTTAAACTTTAAAATAATTTATTTAGGTTTTCGTAATTATTAAAAGATTGTACCAAAATAACATGGATAATGAGAATTCATAATCTACAATTTCATATGTTGCACTTATGGTGAGAGTCGTGAGACACTTATCATCAGTCATCACTAGTTTATGCTGTATGAATTATGAAGGCATCTCTTACTTTTAGTTCTAGAGCTCGAAATCTTATTGCTTGGAGACATGCAACATAGCTCTTGCAATATTTGTGATGACGATTTATACGTTGTGAATAACATCAGAGATGGCCATGGTTGGCAAGAAGAAGACGATGATTTTGTCTGATGTAGAATAAATGAGTGACATGGGGGCTAAATATATACATACATCTAGAGGGAAAAAAAACGTGCTGACAGGAATCAGTCATGTTATACAGTGGGGATAATTGAGATACTTACCGGTATTTCTTGACAAATGTCAAAAGTAGACGATATTGTTATTGAAGAATCACATCCATGTGATATATAGTTCATTCCTCTTTAGTCATAAATCATATAGTAAAGATTTAAAAAAGTAATATGTTAGAAAGACAGAAAAATAAAATAAAGCAAATCTATACATATATATGAGAGGGGACATTCAAGTGAGAAGTGGATTTTTCATGTATGTGAGTGTAAATGTGGGTGTGGAATAACACAATGAAAAAAGGAGTGAAGACAACATCATTTTCCCCAAAGAAAGCTAAGTCCTAGAATCATCACTCCAGTTCCCTTTTTGGCCCCTTCTTCTCTCTTTTTTTTTTTCCTTTCTACTTTGACCCTTCACTTACTATCTACATGCTTTTTGAAACCCTCATTACTCTCTAAATTAACCACTAAAAGTAAAAGATTAACCACACTAATTAATACCACTGACCATTTAATCCAACTAATACGTACCTTTGGACATGATTCAACCAAACCTTGGTTAAGAATAATAATGATATATCACAAAAACTCTAGTTTCTGCTCTTTATTTTTAGAACGTGATGAAGACAAAAGGGAGAGCAACAAACTTTTGGAGCAAGTCATAGGTTAAAAGCCCCATAGCTTTTCCTTCTATCACTTTCATTCCTCTCTTCTCATTCTAACAGGCTGAGAGAGAGAGAGAGAGAGAGAGAGAGAGAGAGAGAGAGAGAGAGAGAGAGAGATCTTGATCAAATCTTCCATCTTATGTCTTCTAAAAATCGTTTATAAAATCCATCTCACTGAGATAAACTCTATATATTTTAAAGATTGAGTAGAGATGGGAAATCACTACTCTAGAAGAAAATCTCGGAAACACATCACTAGTGCTGCCTTCATCATCCTTCTTCTTCTGTTTCTTTTCCTTTACGCTAAAGCTTCATCGTCGTCGTCTCCTAGTAGTCATCACCACTCTACTGATGGAAGCTTGAAGAAAGCTGGAATTTTCGATCCAAAGCTTCATGATCTTAATTCCAATGCTGCGTCACGCGGCTCAAGATATACTAATGAAGGTGGTGAAAAAGCTTTTGAAGATGACAAGAGAAGGGTCTTCACAGGTCCTAATCCTTTGCACAATAGATAATCTTTTTGATGATTACAAGTTTTGTGAATTTTTGTCTGAATAAAATACATTTGTGCAAACAAAACAAAAAAAAAACATATTTATTTACTTTTTCTTACACTAATATACATTATATCGTACGTGATCTGCCGTGATTTGTAACTTATATTATATTTGGAGGAGTGTGATTTTAAGACTATTGAACAACAAGTCTGAGAAAATAGTAAATCCTGCTTCTTGATTTTCTTTCTCTATGATATTCTTCTTTTAATTATCTAAGATGGGTATTTTTTAGTTTATTAATAATACGTATGATTATCTTTCTTCCCTTCGGTGGAAATTTCGTGTGGTACGAATATTTTGATGATGATAAAATGAACATCATTGTTGATGCCAAAGAAAGCACACAAGAAAAAAGAATGAGTATCATTGTTCAATTGAAATTATGGGAAAGCTAGTCTCTTACAGATATTGTATGATGTGAAAGATAATAGATTAAAACAAGCTAATTTAACGCATTTTTTGTTACAATTACAGAAAAGCTGCTTAAAGAAATTAGTTACTAAGGGAAAAACCTGTAATACGCGAGTCATACACATGGCCTTTTTTGCTACGACTTTACATTTTACTAGGTGTTGTCAATATGTAAGAAACAAAATGAGATTTATCGGAATAAGATACGACCAGAACTAAAAGATGAAAATCTTTTAAATTTTTATTTGAAAGTTCAAGATGAGATGTAGTGACAAGAAGAAATATTCTCAGAGCCGAAAATAAAAAAAAACAAGAGAGAAATTAGAATTTAGAGACGTACAAAACTAATAAAAAATTATGAGTAAATATGGAAAATTTGGAAAAGACTTCCTGTTTCCAAATAAGAATTGAAATCATGTCTGAAACGTAACTTTTTCTACTATATAAGATGAGAACCATAATTAGATGAACACGAGAAGAGATTTTTGACCAGCTGATACATAATTACGATAAACAAAAAGAAAGAAAGTTGAAGTATCTCCACATAATCAAATATTTTGAAGCATATTGTAATGAAGACACGTATTTAAGAGTTTAATAAGTATCGCTTTGCAGCTTCAGGATCCAACTCTTCATACACCTGAAACCAAAACACATGAGAAGAAAATGTTCCCAGCATTAGTACCGATCTGCAATAAAAGAATTATTTAGAAGATAATGTCTGTGAGTGTGACAATACAAGTTTCTTGTGGAGTTTCTCAAATGCCTTGCAAAATCTCTCTGCTTCAACCTCACCAACCTTCATTAAAATTTAAAAGCAAGTTAACATCCCGAATAGGTGAATATAAAAAACTTTCTGTGTAATGTAGTATTATCAAAGATGAAACAATAATAATTTCTTTCAGTGAAAGTATCTAAGTTCATAAGTCAAGAACGAACAAGGCATATATATATAATATCGATTCCTAACCATGAAAATTGCTTAATCACAATACCGCATCAAATTCGATAACTATGGGATAACTTTGTTTGCTAAAATTACGAGCTTTATCTCTAAAATCTCATCCAACAACAAGAAATGTAAGAACAAAATCGCTGGTAATAACTACCTTCTTTGCAGCAGCCGTTTTCAGCTTATCCCAGAATGTAACTGTATCTATTAAAAGAAGTCCACAAATCAGGATAAATGATGCAAAATTATGCAGCAAAAAGATGATGCACATGTAGAGCAATCTTACTCACAAAAATCATAAAACTACATACTTCTTCTACACCATAAGAGCTAAATTTACATAAGTGAATAACAGTAGCATACAGACCCCGGCTATGTGTAAATCGAATGCATGGATACTTAGGTTTAGATTTTGTTTTGGCTAAACGGAGCATGGATTATTCATTTCATTGGTCAGATAACGTGAAAAACATATCCAAAGTTAGCAGAGAATATACATAAGACATAACAAAATTACAAAAAATGAAAGGTTATAATTTGATCAAATGTCAGGATTCTAAGACAATGAGACAGGAAAACTTTCCCAATTATCAACGCAGGTGTTCACCTCGTTTGTATTGAAAACACAACATAAGCTAACAAGAAGGCAACAATATTCCATCTGCAATCGTCTTGATCCAAAAAAGAAATCACATAGATTCATGATTACCCCCAAGCTATTTCAGACACAAAGGATATTTCTCTTTTATGAAGGAAAAAAATATCTCTTAGCTTTCTCTCTGAAACCGATTTGTGGTACATATTCGAAGGAGCTGTTACACCCAGTTAGTCAGGATCCCAAGGTGGGGAAAAAAGATGCATACCTTGATCAGTCTCTCTATCTTTCAAGTCTTTTGGCTCAACAACACTCGGCGCATCGTGCCGTTCGTTTACCTGCTTTGAGTGATTCCAAGCTCCATCACATTTCAAGTGTATAATATCATAAGCAGATAAAGAAAAAGAGCCTTAAGACCTCAGAATGTACCTCTCGCTCAACAATTGACTGTGAAGTTGATTGCTTTGAACTTGAAGAATCTAAATCAGCCTGAAACCCATGAAAAAAAAAAAAAAATCAAATGATACCAGAAACCTTGACATATAAAAAACACACCGAGTAATGAATAAATTCTGGATCAGACGAAAATCCAGCCTTAGAGAATATATATACCGACATTTGTAATTGGCATTAAAACAATCTTAAGAAAATTCGATCATAATGTCAAGATTCGAGGTGTAGTCGCAACATTCAGAGCACTGGTCAAAATTCAGGACGAAAGATCAAATAAGACCTAAGAGGCAAAGATATCAAATTGCTGGTAGAAGCCCTAACGACGCATATACTAGTGCAAAATGATGAAATTAGGGTTTTTCGAAGAACCAAGTTTGCGTCAATTAAATTGACAGTAGCAGCAACAGCAGCAAGCAAGCAACAAAAGAGTTTGTCCGGAGAAAAAGGGAAGAGAGAAAAGAGACTTACACGGTGGTCGCGAGAGCGTACGACGGGGAAGAGATGTAGGAGGCTACGAAACTCTTGCTCGTCCATGGCTTCCTTTCCTTCGATTTCTCCTCCGATTCTCTCTCTTTGTCTCTCTAAAAGTTGGATGTTCTAAACTACCCTCAAATCTCAATGTTCTGTGCTCTCTCTCTCTCTTCAGGCTGTGGAAATTTTCATAATTTTTTTTTTAATATGCAAGACCCACCTTTCATTTTAAGCTGCTTTTAATTCGATGTTTAAAAAAAACGAAAAACAAATTAACAAATTATTGAGAGGAGTTTGCAAGATTATACTAAACCACAAGCTAGCTGATAATTATGGTAGGAGCTAACCATTGTTAAATAAAACATCAAAGCCACCAATTGGTGTCAACAGTTATGGAGTTTGTAAAAGACAGTGATCGTGAAAAGCAACTAGTCTTTTTTATCTTTTTCTTTGAGAGATGTTCAGATACATCTTACATAATTGCATTTTCTACGCTCACTCTTTACTTTTGGTTTGTGTTAAAACAATGATTAATAATTGGAACGACTTTGTAGTAGCAAAAGCATTATAAAAAAAAAAAAACACAATTGACTCCACTTATAACACGATACAAATAAATTTTTTAGCTCCGACCTCACTTTTACACACAAATAATCCCAAACAAGACATACGATACGAAACTCAATAAAACATATACGGTCATGGAAAAGAAGAAGAGATGGTGATTAAGAATCGGTAAATATATATCAGAGCATTTTTCACTCATGATCCAATAGCTCCCCTTCTTCATCCTCGTCTTCTTCATACTCGCCTTCTTCATCTGCAGTTGCGTCTTGGTACTGCTGGTACTCAGAGACGAGATCGTTCATGTTGCTCTCTGCTTCAGTAAACTCCATCTCGTCCATTCCTTCACCTGTGTACCAATGCAAGAAAGCTTTCCTCCTGAACATGGCAGTGAACTGCTCACTCACCCGCCTAAACATCTCTTGGATCGACGTCGAGTTCCCAACAAAAGTCGATGCCATCGAAAGACCTCGTGGCGCTATGTCACAGACGCTTGACTTGACGTTGTTCGGTATCCATTCCACAAAGTAGGAAGAGTTTTTGTTCTGCACGTTTATCATCTGCTCGTCCACTTCTTTTGTGCTCATTTTGCCACGGAACATTGCTGAGGCTGTTAGGTACCGGCCGTGACGCGGGTCTGCTGCGCACATCATGTTCTTCGAATCCCACATTTGTTGGGTGAGCTCAGGGACGGTGAGTGCACGGTACTGCTGCGACCCACGGGAGGTGAGAGGGGCAAAACCGACCATGAAAAAGTGGAGGCGAGGGAAAGGGATGAGGTTCACTGCGAGCTTCCTCAGATCAGAGTTGAGCTGACCAGGGAATCTAAGACAGCATGTAACTCCACTCATGGTTGCAGAGATCAGATGATTCAGATCACCAACTGTTGCAGTAAATCCATCACCAAATCAGCAAACAGTTAAGACATAAAGAATCATAATTGGAGACGGGATCAAGGACGGATTGATATTACCAAACAACAACATTCATGGTTTCCGAGATCAGTAAATCAAATTTCACCCCAAAAAGGAAACTGCAGAACAAAAAAAAAGGACATGAAAGGGACTTACAGCTAGGAGTGGTAAGCTTGAGTGTTCTGAAACAGATGTCATAAAGGGCTTCATTGTCCAGAACCATACACTCATCAGCATTTTCAACCAGCTGATGAACTGAAAGTGTAGCATTGTATGGTTCGACCACGGTGTCAGAGACCTTAGGTGATGGGAAGACAGAGAAAGTAAGCATCATGCGATCAGGATACTCTTCCCTGATCTTAGATATCAGCAGAGTTCCCATTCCAGACCCGGTGCCTCCACCAAGCGAGTGACACACTTGGAAACCTGAAAAAAATCATTATAATACAAAACCATGATTCGAAGACCTTCAATAAACTTTTCTTGGGTCTGGAAACATAAACAAAGGAGTAGGCATACCCTGAAGACAGTCACAATTCTCGGCCTCCTTGCGTACAACATCAAGTACGGCATCAATAAGTTCGGCTCCTTCAGTGTAGTGCCCTTTAGCCCAGTTGTTTCCAGCACCAGATTGCCCGAAAACAAAGTTGTCAGGTCTGAAGATTTGACCATAAGGTCCAGTTCTGACACTGTCCATAGTACCGGGCTCAAGATCCATGAGAATGGCACGAGGAACATATCTTCCGCAGGATGCCTCGTTATAGTAAACATTTACACGCTCCAGCTGCAGATCAGAGTTTCCAGTGTAACGACCGGTGGGATCAATACCGTGCTCATCACAGACAACTTCCCAGAATTTTGAACCAATCTGGTTCCCACATTGGCCACCTTGAATGTGAAGGATTTCTCTCATCTTCTGTTTAGCTGAAAGCAAGTGGACAAACAAGAACCGCGATTAGAAATCAACATTACATATATGAAGGTAAAGCAATCTGTATCAGATCCAATTGACAATTAGATCGAATGTCCACAACTGAACCTCGAGATCCGAGATCAAAACAATCTGTATCAGATCCAAACAAACCAATCCAACAAAATATATATAAGAAGAGATTTGGAAACAAACGGAAGATCACAGAAGGAAATTCTAGGTTCCAATAAGAGAGAAGCACCGCACAGAACACTCCGATTTCAAATTGCACCACATATTCAAGTGATTGTAAATCAAAATCGAAGTGAAGAAGAAAGCAGAACAAAGATGAAACAGATCGAGAGCGGATACAGATTTGAAAGAGAAGGAGTCCATCAAAGTATCACAGTCACTAGAAGTAGTTTATCTGTTCAAATTTGGCTAGATTTCTCAGCGTCTAGAGGAGTAAACCATACATACGAGACTTAAAAGAGTAACAGAAAGTAGTAGTAACTTACGGATAAGAAAATACAGAGATCTCCGGCGAGATGAGGACGATCGAGTACGACGGTGGATCGATCGGAGTAGCAGAAGAAGTGAATGGAGGGAGTGAGAGGGGGAGAGTGAAGATGGTGGATTTATTTATGAAAGAGTAAGAAGAGGGAAAGGTAAATTGATCCAACGGCTGTAATAAAATCCATCTCTGACAAGCTGGATGCCGTTGGATGGTGAGATATCAACGTTGTAGATGGCGTTGGGTGTGATTAACTGTGTGATGCGGGAGCTACTTCTTTAATCATTGGATTGTCATTGTCGGTTCTTCTTCCTTCACTCCCACATAAATAATACAGTAATTCATTGTCAAACGAAAAGTAAATATACCAGTACACATAAATAATACAGTAATTCTTATAACATTGTTTTGCTAAATCATATTTACTAGAAAATAAAATTAAAAAATCATGCAAGTATGTAACATGGAAGTTTTTGGTCAACTTTATTCTTGCTTGCACAACACTAAAAAGAGTCTAAACTCATATTTTAGAGTTTTCGGATATGATAAAATTTCCATGGAACAATCATGCTAACTTTATCGATAAATAAAAATTATATAAAAGGAGGAAAACCTTTAAAAAACTGTTTCACCAAAACCAGTCTCTACCTTTATCTCACCATGAATTTGTTCATTACCCAAAGACGTAATAAATTAAAATTAAAGCTAAGAAAGAAAAAAAAAAGTGTTGAATGGATCTGATTAAAGGGGAAACATAACTGTAAATAACAGAAAGAAGAGGGGTACAAATACAAACACAAGAATGGGTTTGCCTTGAAGAGAGCTTGTGGATCGGAAATCAGATAGCGACAAAAAATGAGATGTGAAAAGAAAAGGGAACAATGCACATGAACCACCCTTGCGTCCCATGTGACCAGCCAACAGCTCACCTGACTTCAATTCTTGCTTCTTCTTTTTTTCTTTTTTCTTTTTTTTTACGCATCTGGCTCATATAATAAGAAATGTGGTTCACCAATCACAATTGGTAACCTAAACTTCAGCTTGCATTCTAAATATATAGGGCCTATACAAAAGAGATTGCCCATCTCATTGCAATCCAAAATATATAAATCCCTAAAGCTCAACAAGATTTTAGAGACCTGGTAACCAAATTAAAAGAGGCCATACGTTAGGCCGAATCACTGCATTGACCAATATAAAAGCTTCTGAATCAACGATCACTTTATATACTTTGTGATTGATCATGCTCTCCAATGTCTACTCTACAATAAACGTTCCAATGACATTCTTTCATATTCATTCCTCCTCTTATAGGGAACAATAAAACTAAAATATTCTTTATCAAATTTAAGGAAATTTATTTTTATTACTTTTTTTCTTCTTCATTTCTATTGTTCATCTAAGTATTCATCTTTCATGATTCTTTTCCATTCCTTAATTTTTTTAGGAAACAATAGAACACAAATATTTTTCATCAAATTTGAGGAACAACAAGAAACAAAATATTCCTCTTATTTTATTCCTTTTCATTCTTTTTCTCCTAATTTTTATTGCCTTTTTCTCCCAGTGATCACCATTCACAGCTATTTTATGCAAACACACATCTCTGCAAATTAAGAAAGAAAAAAACGTATGAACTTGGTGTATCGTGTATATATAAAACAAGGGAAAAATCCTGAAAAATACTCAAACTTTTAAAAATTTGGAAGAAAAATACTCAAACTATTTTGACTCCCTAAAAAATACACAGACTATTTATCACATCTATTTTAATACTCAAACTAGCAAATCTCGTATATTTTACCAAATTTATATTCTCAAAATCCAGTTTTACCCTTCTTTATTTCTAACATTTAATATATTTATTATTATTTTTTCTTAAGAAAAAAAGAAAATTCCTATAATTTATAAAAGAAAATAAAAAACCAATTATTTTCTCTACAATTTGGCTCACCTGATTCATCATTTGTCGTCGAACCTATCTCTGCAATTTCCGATTTACCACCACAGCTCCGACGAAGAGGACAACGGAAAGTAAACCCAGATTTCTCCCACGACTAAAATTTTTTCTTCCTTTCTCATGACAACGAGACCTTAGAAGAATCGATTCGCCACAATTGAATTTGATACCAAATTGGTTCTCATTACTAGAACGAATGTTTATTAAATATGTGAACATCGATTTCTATCCTTTATCAAATGATGAGATATATGTAGTGGGATATGCAAAAAGAAAATTTCAGATTCTAATAATATCTTTTCAAAGTCGCTTTCTGGGTACAAAATGAGAATCG